AAGCTTCCTAGTTAATAGAAGTAGCTCGAGAAGCTTCCTAAGTAGGAGTATATACAAGGATCGAGGCTGAAGAGTTCTTCAGTCTCCACAACACATCTCTTGGAGTTCTAGCTCATCTTTCTGGTGTTGTTCTTGTACTCATCTGTTTAATCTAGTTCTGCCACTTCTTCTTGAACTTCTTGTTAGATTTCAAGTCTGTATTTTGTGTCCGTGACAGCAGAAAGTTATTTTTCCTACCATTTTCATCTCAAATTCATGTATAAGTAGATTAATAGCTGCAACACATGCAGATTTAGTGCCCACTAAGTTAAGATCATCAATATATACAGCGATGATCACAAAACCAGTTTTATCTTGTTTGATAAACAAACAAGAGATTAGTGGATCACTTACAAATTTATGTATAATTAAATAATCTCAAAGATGTTGATACCACATGCATCCGGATTATTTTAAACCATTCAAGGCCTTATATAATTTAATACTACGATATTATCCTCAAGCAAGTCTATTTGGAGTTCCTGTTTCTAAGTCAGATTGAACTTTCATATAAATATTTGCATCAAGAGAACCATATAGATATACAGTTACCACATCCATCAGATGCATCTCAAGGGAGGCATGAACTGTCATTTTAATAATATATCAAAATGTAATTGAATCCATGACTAGAAAATATGTGGATTCATAATCAATACCAAATTATTGAATAAATCCTTGAGCAACAAGACGAGCTTTATAGTAAATTATTTGACCTTGAGTATCTCACTTATATTTTAATATCATCTTATATTCTACAGGGCAAGATGTAAGAGTGTCTACAATTGGACCAAAGACTTTCTTCTTACACAAAGAGGCATATTCTTTCTCAATAGAAGTTTTCTATTTTGACCAATTAGAGCAACACATCGCTTCTTTGATGGTTTGAGGTTTAAGATCATCTTCCTCACAAGAAAGGGCTTCTATAATCATATATGCAAATGATTCATCTACCATAATAGATGGTCTGTCCCAAATATCATCTGTAGCACAATACAAAATAGATAGTTTTTTACTCAACTTGTTCTTATTCCTTCCAATTCCAAAATTATTTTTCACATGAATTGAAGGTACATTATGCATGGATATATCATCATAAATTGGTGGTCCTATAGGATGAGTGGCAATTTCTTGAGAAATAATACTAGGATTAGATAATATTATAATTTTTTTTTTATGTGGTTGCTTATTTGGTCCACGAGTTCTTTTAGTTGTTGTTATTATAACTTGAGGTATTGTAGTCAATGGCACTGCAATCTAAGGAAGTGCATTTTGAGCCTCATTAATAGGAACTCTTGTAATTCTAAGTGCATCATTGAAGCCATCAGGTGTTTCATCTGCAATCCGTTTTAGATACAAAATCTTAGCAACTTCAGTTTCACCCAAAGATGTCCTAGGATTGGAATTCATTGTAAATATTTTTTGTACTTCAAATACAATTATTTTATTTCTTTGTTGATTGGATACTCCCCCTTGAAGAGATGGAAATACATTCTCTTCAAAACGACAATTTTACAAATAAGCACGTAATAATGTGCCAGTGGATAGATCAATAATTCGAATAATACTTGGTGAATCAAAACCAACATATATGTCTACTTGTCAATAAGCTCCAATGGTATGCCATTGAGGTACTGGTACTGGAATCCAAGTACAGCAACCAAATACTTGTAAGTGAGATATATTTAAAATACGACCCAAAATAAGCTCATGTGGTGAAATAAATTCAAGAAAAGAAGGATGGAAGCGTATTAATATTGCAACATGTAAAAGTGCATGATCCCACATAGATGTAGGTAAATTTGCATGAAGGAGAAGTGGCTGGGTAATGAGTTGTATATGCTTTATAAATAACTCTACAAGTCCATTTTGAGCATGTTCATATGGAACGCAATATATCAACTCAATTCATGTTGCAGTACAATAGTCTTCAAAAGACTTTGATGCAAATTCTTTTGCATTATCCATATGCAATTTTTTATAGGATAATCAGGAAAATATCCCCAAAAATGAATAATCATAGATATAAGATTGACAAACACCATGTTTTGAGTTTATATTAATAAAACATGTGATTGTTTACTTGATGCATCAACAAGGATCAAAAAATAATGAAATGGTCCTAATATTGGGTTAATAGGACCACAAATATCACCACGCAATCTTTTAAGCATTAGTGGTAATTCTTGTGGGAGTTTCCAAATTAAAAGCTGAGTAATCATCTTACCTACTATGCATACACGACATAATTCTATAGAATCTACATCCGCAAGTTTTAAATTGTGCCTAGTTATACATGGAATAATCTTTCTAAATAATGTAGATCTTGGATGTCCCAATTGTCTATGCCAAAGAGAAGTACGACTCTGTATGATAGATGATGAAAAATTAAATATAATAGGAGGCTGAATCGTAATTTAGTATAAACCATTTTCTGTAGCAAAAGCTTTTTCAACAACTGTATGGTTCTTCGCAAGAACTAAAACCTCTTTTCTATTTAAAATGGTAGTCGAGAGGTGATAACCATTGATACGCACATCTCGGTAGCTGATCAGACTCCAAGGTGCTGAAGGTGCAAACATCGCATGTTTACATTTTATGATGGAATTCCAAGGTAATTTTACCATCGTTGTGCCCTCTTGGAAACAAAATGCATTTGCTCCAGCCATAGTCATTATATTTTTAGTTTGCCAAGTTGAAGATTTTTCAATCAAAAATCATCTATCCCCTAGGATAATATGTGTTGTTACAGAATCAATAAATGCATCATTTGATTCATCATTAGAGGTTTTGTCATTCATATAAGCTTCTAAGTTATCAACACCAATTGAATCCATTGAGGCATCCTTGGTATGAACTTCACAAGCTTCAACTCGTAGTTTCTTATTTTTTTGGAACATTTTAATAAAATATTCTAAAATATGGCATGCATGTGCTAAATATCCAATCATTCTACACTTATGGCAAGAATACATCTCTGATTTTTTTTTCTACTATAATTAATAGTAGAACGTTTATTCTTTTCATATAGGTAGAAATGGTCATGACTATGACTACTCTGATGTTTATGAGCACGTTTTCCATGTTTATATAATTTCTACTTAGACTTTGAAATCTTAAGTGCATGAGATTCTAAAACTATGGTTCCAATAAGACAAGCTTCCGCATTGCCTAAGAGTAGCTCATTTTGCTTCTCCACAAGAAGTAGATAGGACATGAGATCAAAATGACTCTGAAATTTCTTGTTCATGTATTGTTGTGCAAGCATAGTAGATACAGGAAGAAATGTAGAGAGAGTTTTTTCAATCATTTCTTCTTTAAAGATGCTTTGTCCACATAATTGTAATTATGAGATAATACTATATATTTTATTATTGAAAGTATTTAAATTTGAAAAATCCAAAACACATAAATGTGTCCAATTATGACGTGCATATGGAAGGAAAATGGTCTTTTGATGATCAAACCTAGATTTAAGATTCTTCCAAAGTTCTATAGGATCTTTCATTTCCAAATATTGATGTTGTAATGTAGATACAAGATGATGACGAAGGAAAAGAAGTGCTTTTCAATGGATAGCAAGAGGAATGGAAATACTTATTGAAGAAGATTCTTCAAATATAATGGCATCCAAGAGTTGTTCTGCAAATAAATTTGCTTTTGTCATTTTTGCCCATAATAAATAATTTTTTCTATTCACAGTCAATAGTAGAAATAAAAGAGCTTGAAAATGTTAGGATATATTGGTAATAATTGGAACCATAATAGAAGCAATTGAAGATGTTGAAGCACTCATTATAAATAAATCTGTAAAGAAAATACAATATCAAGTAAAAAAGTTGAATAAAATGTACTTTAAAATATAAAGTCAAATAAAATGATAAATTTGAACTTGAAATCAAAAATATTAATTAATTATTTTTATTTATTTATTTGTTTATTTTAACAAGGTTGTAGATTGTAGTAGCAAAGTAGCTACAAGATGGCGATGACAAGGCGGCAACGGGAGGGTTGACAACAATTGGCAGTCAGCGGTAGCAGCTGTGAGCGACGGGGTTGGTGGCTATTTGGCAGCAGTTAGTGGTCAGCAACGGCGGCAAGGGGTATTAGTGGCAGGATTGACAGTAAGCAGCGATGGTTGTTTGAAAGCAAGTGTGGAGCGTAGCATGGAGGCTGGGCTATAGCAAGTCTTCCTAGTAAGCATGGCACAAAGTATAGCAAGTGCTCTAAGCAAGCATCTAGTGTGCAAGGAACCAGCAAGAAGTGTAGCAAGATCATGAGTCAGACAAGGAGCAGGAGTAGCAACCGGTTTGAAGAGTCAAGACTAGAGCAAAAAAAATTGTGATAGTGCATAGAAGAGAGTCATGCTAATAACGTGTTGAGAATGTTTAGAAAGATTTAAGAGTAGTAGTAAGTAATACATACACAAACAAGAGAGTTTCTAAGGAGAAAAAGCTTCACACACAAGTCTATTGATCTAGTTGTGTCACGTATATAAGAGGAGAAGGGGAGAAAATAAACAGTTCCTCTCTACTACATTCCAAATACTATGGCTGTGATATTTATTGTAAACTACAATAAATATTGTAGAGAGTGCTGGCTACATTTAATGCTCTCAACAAAGCAAGAGTGATGGTTGAAAAGTGGAATTGAGAGGCAGCCCGTGAACAAATTTCAGCATCCATGTATGTCAATGTGGATCAGTGTGGGGGCCAATGAGGAATTGCTTCTGAGTTCCCAACCTCCCGCCCTCCAAACTGGTTCCCACGCCGTGGTTCCCGTACGTTCCTTATCTCCGTTCCCAGAAATCTGATCGGCGGTGGACATTGCATCTCAGCGGCAGCTGCGATCCGAAGGCCCACGATGGCGGAGCCAGTCGATTGCATAAGGAGGTTTCCACGTAGTGACGAGGGAGGGGAGGGCGGGTCTTAGAGAGTATCTCGAAGAGTGGCAGAAGGGAAGGGAGAGGGGGTCTTGGAGAGGGTGGGTCCAAAACCCTGTGTCCTGTGGTGGAGGCTCCACCTTCTTTTCTCAATACCCACACACTTGCCCCGCAATGCTCGTAATTGCATTGTGGTCCTTCCAATTTCTGTCTTCCTCCTCGTTACAATCTCTCGGGGTGCCATTCTTACGAGGAATAGTCGGGTTTGCGAGCTGGTGGTACGCAGGGAGGGGCAGGGAACACGATTCGCTCTGTGTTTGCGACTATGGTGATCAGAGCGTCATCCGTCCTCGCTTCGCCTACCGTTGCGATTACATTTGGCACGAAGAAATGTGAGCGCTCTGTGGTTGGGAAAGTCTCTGCCGAAGGGTTTAAAGCATCGGGGTTCCTGGGGTTGAGCTCGTTCGCGGCTGACGTGAAAAGAGTTGCGGTCGTAGATTCTCGTGGTAAGATTTCTAGTCTTCTGGATTTCAGGGCCTTGACACTTTAAGGTGTTTTTTTTTGGCTTCTGTAGAGTGGAATCTCTACCGTCTTCGCTGATTAGTGGCCGGATCTCGTGGCTTCGAAATCCATTTTTAGGTTGTAATGTAATGAGGTTAATGGATTGGGCTTGCATGTGCCAATTTTCTTGAAAATCGAGTTGAATTTCGCGTCCGTAGTCATTTGTCACTTGCAGGGTATGACTAGGACTAGCAAGGCGCTTTAGGTAGTTGCTGAGAGATTCACATTCGAGAAGAGTGGCAGTGTCTAGTCTTTGCATAGAAAGTGCAACTTTCAAGGAGGAAGATTACACACAAGACAGGGATTACAGAATTTTGCTACGAATGAACCGTTATTCGGTGGAAATGAGATTCAATCACTCTAAGGGTGCTCTAGAACGTTCTGAGCCCTGACAGACCTCACAGGAGTTAATATCAGTGAATTGGCGAAATTGCAGAATAACTTCTACGTTCATAAATATAGTACAATCTGTTTCGCGTACCAATCCTAATTGTTGTGAGATTGGTCTTTAGTCTCGACACTCACTCGAGTGTCTATTTCATGTGCAGAAGCCAAAACATCAAGCATTGTTATGGCGCAGGTTGCAGCTACAGAAGAGGCGACTAAGGCCTCAGGAATCAAAGTGCATAAACTCTCTGAACTTAGTGCCGACGAAGTTCGAGGTCTTCGAGCCCGTCCTCGCATTGACTTCACTTCAATCTTTGAAACAGTGGGTAGCCCACTTCAGATTTTGATTGATATTATTGTTTGTATCGAACTTGGCTGTGTCTCTTCAGTGGCGCACCTAAACCTCTAGCATAAATCCTATGTTACTCATCTCACTTGCTAATTACTGCATTATCCCCACAAGTAGTTACTGAGATCCAAGTAAATGAGATTTCCTTTTTGCTGTATGTCCTCAGGTTGGCCCTATTGTAGAGAATATCCGGAGTCGTGGAGACGCGGCTGTTAAGGAGTAAGTTGTTACTTCTTAGGGCATTATCAAGTTTTGGAAATGCACAGAGACTGCCTTAGAAGCTTAGAGGTCCCTGATCCTGGTAGTAGTAATGTTGCTATTGAAACATGGGGAAACAAATCGCTGGTGTTTAGTTCTAAGAAGATTTGTTGAAAACAGATGGATTCCTGTGATAAGGTTTGGGGATTATGATTGCAGGTATACAAGCAAGTTTGACCGAGTAGATCTTAAAAGTGTAATCGATAAAATTGAGGACTTGCCTGACCCGGTGGTAAGCTAAGGTTTTAAGCACTTCTTCAGTTAATTCCTCTGATTCATGTCTTTTAGGATATTGGAACTAACAATCACATAAAAATTGCATAATTTGGGATGCCCCTCTTTTTTTTTGAGGCTTTAGTTTATACCTATGTTCTTCTGACTCGAAGGTGCGTAATGCACGCAGCTTGATCCTGAAGTAAAAGCAGCTTTCGACGTAGCTTATGAGAACATCAAGTGTTTCCATGCTGCGCAGCAGAAGAACCAACAACTTCAAGTGGAAACTATGCCGGTGGGTGCTATCAAAAGCCTTCTACTTATCTTGTGCTTGCGGTTAGTGAACAATGAACGTTTGCTGGTGTTCCTACGTTCCGATTTTCTGATCATATAGAAAAATTGAGTTCGTTTTCTTTAGGACGAGTTGTAGACGCATGCATTCCGTTTGTGGAATATGGCACTAAAGAATTTCTCTTGCCTTCTGTTGATAGGGCGTGAGCTGCAAAAGAGTGCCTAGAGCCATCAACAATGTCGGTCTTTATGTTCCAGGAGGCACTGCAGTCCTTCCATCGACTACTCTTATGCTGGCTGTTGTAAGTTTTGTCAGCCGAGATTTCAAATCCGTTGTTGCACTCAACGATTCACGAAACATATGAGGACCTTGATTACTTTGGAGATTAGCTCGATTTTTCTGTGGACTCAGAGGAGAGGAAGTTTTGGATGAATGGTCCTGCGAGTGTTGCTTTTGATCATCTTTCGTCTTTTGAGAAGTATGTAATCATGTGTTTTCACTTACACCTCAAAAACTAATGAAAACATTGTTTTCAATTAGTTTCTGTATTAGCTCAGAGAGTGTGCGCATCTAACATTTTTTTGTTGGTGTTCAGCCTGCACAGATTGCCGGGTGCAAGACAGTGGTTGTTGCAACACCACCAAGGAAAGATGGCTCTATCTGCCCTGTAAGCTTTATATCCCTGGAGGCTTGACAAGTGCACGCTTTGCGCCATAACCAGATGGAGGCTGTGCTGGGACATGCTTTTTTTTCTGTAGGCTTTTCTAGTTTGCAGGATAAAATTTTAAAAGTGATCTAACAGGAGCATCTGCTATCAGGAAGTATTGTACTGTGCAAAGAAGTCGGGTGTGACCCACATTTTGAAAGCTGGTGGAGCTCAGGTTTGTAATTTGTACTTTAACGTGTTACCTTTTGACTATCAAACTATCTGCATGTAATACTCCAACTCTCGATTCAGCATAAGTCGTTCTTCTATCTGTTTGTCCTGCTTGATAACAACAGCTCATTTATGTGTATTTGTGTGGAATTCGAAATGGTTAACTTTTCTGTGAATTCTCAATTTTCAAGCATCAATAATTTTGCTCCCATTAGTGAATGCATGCGCATGAAGCACTTAATTTGATGCCTTGCAAAATTAGTCTTAGTAGAGTCGTATCTGACATCTCAGAGGTTACCATGCAGGCTGTTTCAGCAATGGCTTGGGGTACTGAAACATGTCCAAAGGTATTTTGATATTAGCCCGTATGCTCGGATTTTCCTTATGCAAGATGGGATGAGTCTTATGGATCTCTAGTATCAAAGTGAAAGTTATATCTCTCAATTAGTTCAAATTTGGTTTCGCTTAGACCCTTCTGTTATTGTTCATAAATGATCTTTTATTTTGGCATCTTTTGTTTTTTTATCTTTTTAATGTGTAGGATAATTTGGAAAATCAAGCCGTGTCTGTTAAGGTTTTCAATCGTTATCCGCTTAGTTTTGACGAAATATCAAAATGCTTGAGCAGGTGGATAAAGTTTTTGGACCTGGAAATCAGTATGTTACGGCTGCAAAAATGTTGCTTCAGGCATGTCTCACACACTCATTAGCTCTTTTCCATTTCGTGTTGTTCCCTCTGCCTATCGAATGTGAAATTTATCGCATCTGCTCATTTCTTCAGTGCAGATCTTATAGTTGTTGAGGTAAACCTGTTTGTACTAGTATGTTAATGTATGAGAGGGTATCGACTTATACTTGCCAATGCTTCTATATTTCACAGAATAGTGAAGCAATGGTGTCCATCGATATGCCTGCCGGTCCATCAGAGGTTCTAGTAATTGCCGACAAGCTTGCTTCCCCCGTTCACGTGGCTGCAGATCTGCTTTCTCAGGTAACAACTTTTTGACCTCTAGTTCCTGTGGCATGCGAAGGTGTTCACGACAGAACACCAGTTTGAAACCCGATTTGGTGTTTTCAGGTTATGACCTTTTTAGTGATGGTATTCTCCTTGAATCGTAGCTCTTTTTTTTTATGTTCAAACTCCGTTCGTTTGTTTAGTATGTTTATCAACATTTTCGATTCTTTTGAATTTGTTAATATTATTTTTATTCTCGCTATCCTGGTATGATGTGGTGCAACATTATTCACTATTATATTTTGCAGGCAGAACACGGGCCAGATAGTCAGGTGGTCCTTGTAGCAGTAGGTGATGAAGTAGACATTGCTGCTATACAGCAGGAGGTGGAGAGACAATGCAGAGAGCTACCTAGGGACACAATCGCTACATCAGCTCTTTCTCACAGCTACATTGTTGTTGCGAAGGACATGCCAGAGGTATTGCGCTTCCACTTTTGGATGATAAAATAATAGCAAGATTTGGTCTTACGTCTTTTCTGGTTTACAGGAAAGCATGTATTATATTCAAAATGCCAGCTTGTTTTGCGTATGACACTGTTTCAGTTACAGACAAAAATTCTGATCTTCCTGCAGGCATGTGATTTTTCAAACATGTATGCTCCTGAGCACCTGATCGTCAACGTGGAGGATGCGGAGCAGTGGTTAGACTCTCTCGATAATGCAGGTAAAGCAGACGAATTTCGATGTATTTGCAGTTTTTTGAATTTTGAGACTTACCATGAAAGCCTGGTGCAGAAATTTCTATGGTAGTGGTATGCTTCTTATACGAAGCATCGTACGCCCTATTTGAAAATCATTCGAAGTGTTGGCTCAGTTAATTCTCATCCTTACACTCTTACGGAACAGGTTCTATATTTATGGGAAGGTGGACACCAGAGAGCGTGGGTGACTACGCCAGTGGAACCAACCATGTGCTGCCAACATATGGTTACTCTCGGATGTACGGGGGCGTGTCCCTCGATTCCTTCGTCAAGTACATGACCGTGCAGTCCTTGACCGCAGACGGCTTGCAAAAGCTGGGGCCTTACGTCGCCAAAATGGCTGAAGTAGAGGGTCTTGACGCGCATAAGAGAGCAGTGACATTGCGACTGCGTGATATTAGTGCTTCAGGTCAATAACGCATCTATTGAAGAAGTTTGCAAATTCTTTAGCTGGAAATATCGTCAAAGTTGAGGATGCTCCCTTTATGTACTCTTAGATATGTGAATGTGATCACCTTCGGGTGACTCGCATAGTCTTTGAAGGGAACATTATGTTGATGGTAAAACCAAAGAAATTTTGTTTTTGTACCGCCTGTTGACTTCTCTTATATTTTGGTATCCGTGTAATTTTTTTTTTTTTTTCATCTGCGTGTTGAAGTCTGATTTCAGGTTATGCAATACAATTAATTTTGTGTTACCTAGATCGTACACGTCAGCTCTTTTTCTACTCGTATAAGCCAATACTCGTAACAATGCTGATTTCCGATTACCCTTATACTGCTGTGTCTTGTTTTATTCGGTGACTAACGTGACCACCCTACCGGAGAATCTACACATTTAACTGCTGAAAAGTGCGTTTCTTTGAGCGTGCATGCTGAAGTACATATTTGGACCAGTTTTGTATCAAGTTGTTCCCTGGAGGACGTCTTCGTTAGCGCAAGTGTAACAGACTTGATTGGAGATGCCGATTCTGAGGGCTGAATCGTGATTTCGTTCGGATTGTTGTGTGGCGATCGCAAGGACACACTTTCTCACCCCAAATCTGTTCAGCAGATTATAATCGGTAATGCAACACGTAACCGAATTATCTGAAGCTGTTTGTTTTGTACGTCGTCGACTCGTGAAGTGGATTAAGCAGATCTGACTTGCTCGACAGTCATTGTTTAGCTTTTTTCTGAATAGTCACGTTTACTATGTGGCATTGCGAGTTACTTTTATGTACTGCCGAATGTGGAATTTGTAGTGTCGTTCCGTGAAGTGTGCAGAACTATCAACCGCCAGAGCTCCCGTTATGCTTGCAAGCAGATGGGATTGGCCCAACCCTAAAGCATACGCGTTGCAGCCCTTGTGAATTGAAGCATCATTGCTTGGAAATGACTGCCTCAGAAAATCAAGGGCTGTTGCCGGACTATTTGTACAGGAGCCGAGGAGCATTATCTGCATTGGTTGGAATTGCTGGAGTGAGCACCTCATCACCATGTGGGAGTAGAAGACGGAGTACTTTGGGGTTGGCTCAAGTCCATGACGATGTTTTCAGGCAGTTCAGAAGTGGAACCTGCTTCGACGAGAGGGTGGGTAGCACAGGTAGAAGCACTGGACGGGATGGATTGGGCAAGTTCATGATCCCTGGAATCAGCGAAACGCGTCAAATTCCCTTGCATACGGGAGAATTTTATGCCTATTGCGCATTTGGGGGCGTTTTGAGTTGTGGTATTACGCATACCGGAGTCACACCTCTAGATATCGTGAAATGCAATATGCAGGTGCATATATTCCTGACATTTTTTTGCAACAGTTTGCTTATTCCTATTCTTTGTTATCTGTAGCTAACGTCTAATAAATGAATGACAAAATTATTGTGAAAATTTTATCCAGATTGTAACTCCATTTTTGCCAGTCTTATCAATTATTCTCCTGTGTGCACCCAGATTGATCCAGGAAAATACGAGTTTATTGGCTCAGGATTTAAATTGATAATGGCGGATCAAGGTCTGAAGGGGTTGTACAAGGGTTGGGGCCCTACATTGATTGGTTACAGTCTACAAGGAGCATGCAAGTTTGGCTTGTACGAGTACTTCAAGCATATGTACGCCGAAATGGCAGGAGAGCCCTTCGCTACAGACCACAAGTCCTTAGTGTTTTTGGCTGGATCTGCATCTGCCGAGTTTGTAGCGGATATTGCACTGTGCCCTTTCGAAGCCATTAAAGTCCGAGTTCAAACTCAGCCAGGATATGCGAAAGGACTCACGGACGGCATGTCCAAGTTTCTTGCAACAGAAGGTTTCACAGGGTATATGCCATTAATTTTTCACGTCGTATGTAGTATCTCAACTAATTAACATCTCTCCAACGAAATTTGTCATATTCGGATACTGCTATTGGTAATGTCATTCGGCATGGTGCATTGAGGAAATTTGAATTAACAATTAAGCTATTTTGGTGATGTCAGTTATTGATGCTGTAGTAATGACGTTTGGACAGATTATATGCTGGAATCGTGCCCTTGTGGGGGCGTCAAATTCCATGTTAGACTCCTCTCTCTGACACTGTTTTTGTTCAATATAATATGTAATACATGTAACGCCTGCTCTCCAATATACAGATTTTACTACAAAGCCTAAGGTTATTGAATATCTTGACATTTCCCAAATATCCCAGATACAATGATGAAATTCACAAGTTTTGAGGCCACAGTGGATGCCTTGTATGCTCATGTGGTGCCTGTGCCCAAAAAAGAGTGCTCGAAAGGTTATCAACTGGGAGTCAGTTTTGCGGCCGGTTACATTGCGGGAGTGCTTTGCGCCGTTGTGTCTCACCCTGCTGACAATTTAGTGTCTTATTTGAATTGCAAAAAGGGCGCAAGTATTCGACAGGTTATTCAAATTTCCCAACCAATACTTTCATTTGAGAGACTACACAAACAGTAGTCTTTATCCACAGACCTCGCATTTGTAATTACTTTGGTTGCAAGATGAGTTTCAGAATTTGGACACTTTGAAGTTGCAGATATTACATTTTTTGAAGTCACTCTCACGTTGTAGATATGTGAAGTGCCTGAGAAAGGTTGAATGACTAACAGACAATGTCCCACAGCTCTTATATTTTATTATGATGGAGTCAACATGAGTAGATGTTCATTCACTCTTGCTCATTCTGCTGTCGTCTGTGTAACTGCAATTGTACAGGCCATAAGCGATATTGGAATGTTCAATTTGTTTACACGAGGCTTACCACTACGAATCTTCATGATTGGCACTCTCACTGGAGCACAATGGGGCCTTTATGATTCGTTCAAGGTTTATGTAGGATTGTAAGTTGCTGGCTTTCATGACCTGTCCCTGACCTATGCGTATTGAACTTGTATGTCTAAATCTGATGATTTAAATATGTGTTGGGCTGCTGCTAAAAATTTCGCCAACTGTTGCTTTTGTTTGTAAATTTTCATTCCAGACCAACAGCAGGTGGAGCTACTCCAGCTCATGGTGATAAAGGTGGTGGGGGCTAATAACCGTTTTGATTCTTGGAACCTTTTATTTCCAAATGTAAGTGTTTGCAAGAGATGAGATTTAGATGAGTAGAACTAGCAGATGAATTATCCTTATCTTTTGCTAAAGAAATGCTTCCACTTTTGAAACTAAAAACAATTTGTGGGGTTTACGGATAAACACGATGGCGATCAGTTGTCTGAGCTTATTGTTACTGAGCATTGATGCAACATTCACATTTAGCAACAGTAAATTCAAGCCCTAAATATGTTTCATGCTGATCACCAACATCTAATCTCTTAAAACCCAGTTTAACAGCTAAATATTTTTGAACAGGTTGATCTGTGTGTTGTTTCATGTTTTTATGTCAATACAACATGATGAAAAGCTAATGTGATGGTAAACAACATATTTATTGTACTTTATATAAACGTTGGGTGTATGTGTAAACTTATTCTTTTACATCCAGATTGACTTACACTGCTGTTAATCAATCAAAAGTAAAGAATATTGAAGAAGCTTATCTTTTCAAATAACAAAAAGTAAAGTTCCAGGAACGAAGAAATCATGTGGATAGAAACAATTTTGTATTTAACTTGGTGGTTGCCCTTTAACTACTATTTGAGTTTAACAATTTATTAGAATTCCATTTACATCACTGTTCATTAGTGCAATCAACTTTTCAATCTTGGCACAACTTTGTGGACTTCAAGCTTGTTCTGTAACAAAATTTGCTACTTGTTTATTATTTTGATTCTTATAATATATCAGTTAATTTTTATAGTTTAAAAAATCTTTTGATTTCAGTGTAAATTATCCTCAAACCTCAAAAACAATTCATCAAAAAAAACAAATTGTTCACAATGACATGTAAAGTTGATATTCATGAACTTGAACTTGTAATTTATAGTTTATAATAAACCTAAAATGTAAGGATCATAATTTCAAAACTTTCAATTAAAAAAATATATTTCAGGTCTTCTTATTTTTTAAATTCAATATATGAAATGAAAAATTGATACTTGTGAAGAATGATGTCAATTTCTTAAATAAGTACAATACATCATAGGAGTTTGAACACATCAAAATACCATGAAGATTTTACAATATCATTCATTCTAATTTGTAGCCAAAATAAATGAAAACAGATTACAATTTTGGCTCAAAATTTCAAGTTGGATTATTATAGAAGTTTGTAAAAATAAATCCTCGTCCTCTATAATGAAAGTCTGTTTAATAATTGAAAGAAGTAGATGAAATCATAGATCAATATTCATAAGTATAAAGCCAAATAATTCTCTTGTATATATTGACGACTGTTTTTAAAACACATAATATATATTTTCCATTTTTAATATGAAATTATGAAAAAAAAAAATTAAAAACTCCAAAATTTTAATCAACTACATTTAGAAAATAAAAACACATGCAACATTAACTCCATTTCTATGAGACGTGAGTTTGAGTCCAAGGATTCTTTAATAGTATTTAAAACATTGAAATGTGAATATGTAAATATGTGTATATATATACATGCACACACATACATAAGTGAAATAATTTAATATTATGTGGCAATTGATAATAATATGCACAATGTAATGTTTTTACAACCACATATCTTGATTTCAATGAAGGAACAATAAAATTGAAAACAATACTTACCAATTTCATCTGCTGAGTATTTAAATTTTGACAAGATATTTTTTTAATGGCATGATTACAACTGCCAAAGTACCTTGCAGTTAAAAAAACAGATATTTTTAAAAAATAAAAATAAAGTCTTAATTATGATTCAAGATTTTGATGATACCTTGCAATAGAGTACTACCATTTCAAGTTTTTTACACTATGTTGTATGATTCATTTCCATGTTATAACATTTTATTTTTCATGAACAAGTAAACTATCACATCTATTGAAGCAATAGTTACTTAGTCATGTTCATATTGCAATCATCTTAACTACCATTTTAATTTTAAATTTCAAAAATAATAATATCAACAATAAAACAAAAAATCTCCATTTCATTCATTAAGAAGTCAAAAAGACCATTGAGATATAGAACCAAGAAACCTGTTTCTTTAAAAAAAATAATATATATTCATTTGTTCATGATTACCATATTCTTTATCATAGATAGATTGATTTAATAAAAACTTGGGTCTATTTAACATTCTTCTAAAATAAATCTGTCATGTTCCAAGAATAATAATACTACCAATAACAATAAAACCTTTTGAACGTTGAGATTTGATGGGTACCAATGCTCTAAGTGACAACCAGAAGAAGGATTCCGATATGGACCCTCAAATTTATACCCTAACCCCCCAATATATACCCGACCAAAACATATGATACCCTTCCAGGAACCGGGTATCAGGAGCCCTAACGTCAAGCAATCAAAGCACAGAGCAGAAGTCTGCACTGGCCTTTCGCGAAGTCGCTGCGCTTGGAGCAGCTCGTCGAGCAGTCCGTCGATTTCTCTAGCGTTTCCACTTCGCTCTGGCCATGGCGGATGGAAATCCTCGTAAGTTCCCCTCCCACAGCTCTGAAGCTTTTGAAATTGTTTGGTGCAGTTTTGGCAGAGTTTTAGTGATTTAGGGTTTCACTCAGTGACTCCGCGCTGCTGGGGTTGTTGTACATGGTTTTGGGGCTTATTGGTGGATTTTTGTGGCAGCTCCAATGCGGTCCTTCGCCCAGGCAGCACAGACGGAGACGGAGGCCTTGCCCTTGAGGACGGTCCAGATCGAGGGCTTGGTATGCTGCTCCTACCCCTTCATGTGTGTGTTGCGGAAGAGCCGAGTTTTTCTCTTGTGCTTATTTTGGCATTCGATTGAGTTTTTGGTAGTAATTGCGTGTAATTCTGTTCTTGCTGTGCAGGTTGCATTGAAAATCGTGAAGCATTGCAAAGAGTGCATGCCTGCGCTTGTGACAGGTCAACTGCTTGGACTTGACATCGGAAGCATCCTCGAAGTCACCAATTGCTTTCCATTTCCGGTATGTCCCTTGCTGATGTTTCTGGTTTTTGTTTCAGTGCTGGATGGATCTCTGCTGAAGCGGCTTCTATGATTTTAGTACGTCCATATTGCAATATTTATAGGTTTTAATCACATCAATGCAAGGGGATCTTGAAGATTTCGCGCTTTGATCAAGCGCACCTCGTTCTGTAATTGATGATGCTTCGGAACTAAGGGTTTTGTTGTGTAATGAAGCAGAATGTCCTGAGACCTTTTTTTACTTTTTCGTATTGACAGTTGTTGCATAAATTTAGTACAGACTGTAGGAGTTACGGATGTATATTGAGCAATTGCTGTAAGGTATTCCAATGATTTGATTTGTGCTAGTGGTAGGATTTTAATTCTTGAAGAAATCCTGCTGGGACGTAATTATTGTTGGCGGTTTAGCTAGTCTTTGTGTTGATTCATCACCTTACCAGTTTCAAATGTACGAATCGTTTCTTTTCGAATGGAATTTAGCTTACTTTGGTTCGTTCACGTCCTTGGGTGTGCGTAGAGCCGAGGTGGGGAAGATGAGGATGAATTGGATACTGACGGGGCGAATTATCAATTGGAGATGATGCGCTGTCTTCGAGAAGTCAACGTTGACAACAACACGGTTGGCTGGTACAGTTGATCTTGGCACTCCTTGCTTTTGAAGTATCGAGAGTCGTGTGCTGTGCTGGCTGTGCGCAATATGGATTCAACTTCCCTGTACATTTTAATCTTGCATCGGATTGAAGTATGTAGATCCTACAGTATGAAGATGGCCTGAGATTGTAATCTTACTTTTTCCAAGTCCGGTCGCGTTGAACTGATTTCTCGATGTCTATAAGCAAATTAACTATCGGTGGATGTGTGCGTTGGTCTTTACTGTATCCTATTTTCATTTGCGTACCATAGGTCCAGGGAACAGGGTTCTTCGATGGATAAAGAGTCAGGGATGAGTTTATTATGTTCGATGGGAGAATTGCTGCGAAATTCAAATTGCACCTCTTTTCTTGTTCCTTTTCTTTTGTGTAGAGCTCAACCCGTCCCGTTTTTTGGATCACAGGTATCAATCAACATACATGGGGTCGTTCCAAACTGTGGAGCTCATCGAGACGTTTATGAATTACCAGGTGAGATTCTGCCGGATGACCTATTTTCACAAGACCTTTTTTTTCCGTCACACTTCCAATATTTCGGTTCCCATTCCTCTTACAAGACTTTCGTCGCAGGAGAACATCAAAAGATGTGTTTGCATCATTTATGATCCTCTTCGTTCCAGCCAAGGAGTGTTGGCGTTGAAAGCATTGAAGCTAGCGGAGGGTTTCATGGAGCTCTATCGCACCCAAACCTTTTCTGGAGAGAAGTGAGTCTATCCGATGCAGGCTTTGTCCACATTCTTGCATGTCATTGCATTATATCATTCGAACAAGTACTCTGTTGAGGTTGAATTGCTTTTGTTGGTTATAATGTATGAACTCCTCTGACTAGACATGTTTTACGATATTGCAGGCTGAGGGAGAAGAATTTAACCTGGAAAGACATTTTTGAGGAAATTCCAGTAAGTCTTTAAACACATGTGACCTTCGCATGCGTTTGCAGCTGCAGGTATTGCATTTAATTTCCATTTTATTCATGTTCTATCCGCGGTAATCGCAGGTGAAAATTTGCAACTCTGCGCTTGTGAGTTCCATGATGACTGAGCTGGAACCCGACGTACAAGCTACTCAGGTATTTCGAATTACGCAACAAAATGTTCAGATGTGGATTCTTGAGCCTTCATGATTGCTGCCTTGGATTCTCGTTGTCGTTATTTACTCACCGACTTGCGAATTGGGTGGACTTGTACAGTGCGACTTCGATAGGCTTGTCCTATCCACAAATCCTTTCATGGAAAAGAATCTGGAATTTTTGATCGAGTGTATGGACGATCTTTCCATGGAGCAGCAGAAGGTATGTCGTATTGTTAGTTGTGGCCCTGTTGTGAGCCTCTAACAATCCTAACTACTCCTATCGTATTTTGTTAGGTTTCGTCCAAACATGACTAGGCCCCGAACCCGAATTTTAACTTGGAACATTGTTTACTGATGCATGAATGAGTGTTTATTCTGTTGACATGCAATTAGCGTAGCTAATGGCACTGCTCATCACATGAATACATGATGTCAGATCGCATTGTGAAGAAACTCCATTAATCAACTTTGATGCTTGTACGTGTGCAGTTCCAATATTATTATCGTAACTTGTCAAGGCAGCAAGTTCAGCAACAAACCTGGTTGCAAAAGAGAAGGTATTCTGGATTGCATTTATCATTATTAGTAGTACTAGTAGTATATACTTTTCATGTTTTACGCCAACGTCAATGTTATTTGTGATGTTCGTATAAACTGCTCTCAATCTATAAGAGATGTTGAAATGATGAAAGGAATTTGGCAATTAGATTGGTTGAGACATTGTGAATTTGGTTTATCAGAACTGAGAATGCTGCCCGAAGAGCTGCTGGAGAGGAGCCTCTTCCTGAGGAAGAACCGAACAATCCTATCTTTAAAACTCTACCGGAACCTTCACGGCTTGACAGCTATCTGATAACTAATCAGATTTCGAATTACTGCAGTCAAGTGAACGGGTAAGATTCCATTTGTTTGGTCGTATACAGTCATTCGAAGTAATTTTCATCACATAACCGATTATTATTTACTACATTGAGTGTATGCATCTAGTTTTAAGTCCTGAACTTATTCCTTGCATACCTCAACCACCGTTTAATGACATCTCTAAACTAACTATGTTGTGTTTGGGTGTTTCATGCAGGTTTGCTGCACAGAGTTTCAGTAAATTGTATTTAATGGATGCGTTCCATGATGAATAGGCCATGCACCCGTCTCTTTTCCCAGTTAAACCATTTCGCCCTTCCAGTCTGACTTAGATGAATGAAAGGAAAGGTAGAGTTGAGGTTTTTGATATCAGAATGAGCCTAATGCAATGTTAGGCGGTTTGTGGACAAACATATTTGAATGCAAAAATGGCCGCTTAGTCAACTTTACATTCTGCATAATAGCCGTGAACAAATTTTGAAGGATTTTGTTCTTTTTACCTTTTTCTGTTCTTTCTTTTCTTTTCTTTTCTTTGCTATTCCCATAGTAACGATTTTTGTTTAGTGTAGCGGTTGCATCTCCCAGAAATTTAGCGTTAGCAGATTGTTATTTACTAGTGAAAGTGACATACAGAAATAGTTTGAGGTTTTTTCTACCACCGTTAGTGTTGTGAGCATGAATGTGAACCTCTTTATTCTCGACGTTGATGGCGCTGAGCTCTTCCATGTGCGTCGCTGACGCAATGACAAGCTTATTTCTTAGCTGGAGCCAAGCACGCCTCAAGCTGAGCTTTTAACTGCTTGTTGGAACGACTGAAGTATGCTACTTCTTCGGCATGCTACTTATATTCGTACATCTTCGTTTCCATCTTCTTGTTTGTCTCACGGTTGTTCTGTGTGGATAGTTGGAAATCATTGCAGCGAGTGGAGTGATACGATTTCCAAATTTCTGTATATTGCGAACTTTTTTGAGGAAGATGTGAAATCTTATCTTAGAAACAAGGTAGTTCGTGTTTTTTTTTTCAGTCAACATCGCCGACAATTGTATGTTATGTCTCATCGAATGATTTTTTTTTTTTTTTTTTTTTTTTTTGTCTAGAACACTGTATCAATCATAGAAATTGTTTGGAAGAAGTGATTGGATAGTGTGAAATATCAATTTTGATGATTCATCTTTTAGTATTGGCGACATTTTTGGTCTTGCATATAAGCACTTGTGTGTCTAACGTCCCCCACCCTGGTAATTTAGTACCCCTTTTTTGAGTTATATAAGAGAGAAGATCCTGGTTATCTTCAGTGTCATCTTCTTGCTTCGTGCAGGCAGGCCGCTTCCCTTTTTCTTCAATTGATACACGTCCATTACCAGAGAAAGATTCTAGCCGTTTGGATTCTCCCTAATTGAATTCTCTATCGTAGTCAGTACTTCAACCAAAATCAATTCACTCAGCATATGCTTGTCTCTGAACTACTACGACATTGCTTAGAGGTGGCTGCACAGCCAAAATCATGGTAGTCAAGTCTTGCAATGTAGTTTTCCTCACGTTGTTAGGAGGCTCCTTGAGACATAGTTTCTTCAACCTTACAAGCAACAAAGGCCTCGCAATCTTCCTTACTAACCCCCTCATCCTTCCTTGTCTACTTCCTTGTTCATTGCTCCACTGCTAGTTTATTCTCTACTACTGTGTGCTATGTCTCAACCAATTGTCCCAATAATGTGTGAGTTTCAACAATCCTTGCTTCACTTTATTCTCAATTCAGGTCAGCAGTCCATCTCATCACTATTTTGACTTGGAACATATGATGGGACATGATTTTGGGACAATTGGGACCTCCAGTCTTCAATTATACACCAAATTATGTTAGCTTACCAATTTTGTTTTGTTGCCATTCTTTACACTTATATGAAATTTCTATTTCTCATCTTTTTTTCTTTTTTTTTTTCTTTTTTTTTATTTTTTTATTTCTTCTAACTATTGTAACTACCATGATTTTTTTCATATAATCCTAACTTTAATGAACAATTTGATGTCTTTAGTTCCTATTCAATTACATTCTACTCCTATTTTAAATTTTAGGTTTTTATATGTAGATTGATAACTTGACTAACAAAGCCACATGTTGCACATTTAACCTCTTGTATTACAAATTAGCCATGTAGTGCATATATCAAAAACTTGTCCTATAAATTAGATCTATGTACTACAATTTGGACATGTGTCATATGGCCTATATGACATTATTATATATTTCTTTAGTAGATAGTATACATGAAGACAAGAGTGAGATCTTTGTCACTCTTAATGCCTTTTTTATACTTTATTTTGATTTAAGATTTTCAAGACTTTTTTGCATTTGGTAATAGTCATTCTAATTTCAATTCTATATCTATCTTTTAGTTGTGTACTTTCTTTCTTTTGATTATATTAGAGTGTATTTTCATCTTAGAATCTAATTGTGGTTTATGTCCTTGCTAGCCATCTTTGGATGACAAAATTTATTGTCATAGCTTATTTTAGTAGTTTATTATAAAACATCTTTAAAAAGACTAAAGCATAGGTGATAGATTGTAGGAGCACAAACATAATTAAATAGTTAAAGTTGAGAAGAGCAACAAGGAGAGGACAAGAAAAATGAGAGATCCAAGTAAAACCATAGGAGTTGAACTTGCTCAACCTAGAAAACAACATTAAAAGAGTGAAATTGCAATCATATTGGAATGTAGACAACTTTATGAAATGCCGTGGTGGTTTTGCGATGAGACTATGGATGAGGAATTGATTTTGGGAGTAGTGCCTCATGGGATAGAAAATACCATTTGGTCAGAATCCAACAAAAGAGATCTTAATTTGATCATATAGGTGTATCAACTAAAAAAACAAAGAAAATAGCCATCTCCCAAGAAGTGAGAAGATGGTGCTCAATCTGAGCTTGAAGCTGGCCTTGTGAGAAATTAGACTGCCAACGTTTGACCCATGGCCTGACCCGTGCCGGCTATTGGTGAAACTGCTCCTCTCGGCTGCTGAGAGCCCTGTGTCTTACTCGGTTTGAACACTACCATGTCCTGTCCGAGATCCAAAATGTACTTTTAGAAAACACAACACTTCGCTTTTCCGACAATAGAAATGTGACATGTTTTAACTCGAGAAAACTCCGTGATGTAATTGACTTTCAGAGCAGGCATGGTGCAGTATTGTGTTGAGGCGCCCCCCGCAATATTGTTCCTTCTACTGCTACTACCGGATCGCATATCATACATTAAGAGCAATTTAAAAATTTAAAAAAAAAAAAAAAAAAAAAAAAAAAACGTTTACCAATTACAAATCTCTTCTGTCTTCTTACACACAGCTTAACATAATAGACAAAAGGTGGAGAAATCTAAATGAGTACCCCTGGGAACAGCATTCCAATCATGCGATCGGGCTTGTCAAAGCTCGCCAGAAGTAGAGTTTGCGAAGGAAGCTGGATAACAGCACACTGCATATCCATTTTTTCGTTAGAAGGCTTAACTTTTTCAGCAAGAAAGAGAGTGCAAGATCAAACATTCAGAAAGTAGTATGTTCAGAAATTTGCTGAAGTATTATACACGGTTGTTTATTACTTGTATTATTATGTGATCCGATATTACGTAATGCCACTATATTTACTCCATCTTTGCACGAAACATCGTTGTAGAAGATAAAACTCGCGGCACCCTTGCCCAGTGTAAGTCCACGGAATTAAAACGACAGCATTTTAACTTCATTGTAGACCTTGACCACCCCAGGAGTAAGATATTTGTTACTAAAAAAATGGGTCAGATGAATGTAATTACTAGTAGTATCTGAATCTCATTAACACACACATGTAGGAGAATTCGAAGTCGCTTACAAGTTTCTTCTCAGCCAATTGAAGAAGAAATCCATGAGACGAATGTAGCCGAAACACCAGAAGCTCTGCCTTTCCTTGACACTCTCTGTCGGAATTCAAAGGACAGACAATTATTAGACACTTGAAGAACCAAATACTAGCTGCGTGGAATATGCGAACTCTCCGTCAGTTACTATCTACTACTCTCTGCGGATACATTCAAGTATGACACCAGTGAAACATCGAGAACAGACTGCCAATTGGAAGTAGGAAGACATACTTGCTATTCATGTGCCTCTGTTCAACAAGGCGCACAATCTGCATTGTGGACGGCCAATCAGCAGCTAAACTGTACATTGAGATTCATAAAAACTCATCACAAGGCTGCGGTATTTAATTAATGGATGTTTGTGTGAAGCACTAAACTAAAAAGCATGGCGGAAATCAAAGACTTCACTATCAAATCCATGAAAAACAGACTATAATCAGAGCTATATGTAACAACTCAGACCAAATTATATGCATTTTAACGATATTTTAAACTACAGAAGATCATATCATGACTCCTCAAAAGCGAATAGAAGATAGGAACTTGAATGTCATTCAGATTATGATATAAGCAGCTCAACATACTTCTCAGAAGAGGACGTTGCTCGATAACCCTGTTTAGAAACATATGCTTACAAACATTAGCCGTTGCATTAGACGGAGCGAAAGTAGTGGTAGTCAATGGTGGCTCACTTTCGCAGATATGCTAGACGACACAGCAGTATTTTGACGCTGCAGCCGCCGGACAAAAGGCTAATTTCCCCTCGGAAAATCCTTCAGATATTAAGACTAAGTGTTGCTTAGAAAAATCAGGTCCAGTATCAGCAGCCCGCGGATTTCGCTTTGCCTGCCATCATCACTTGAAGCTAAAAATGAGAGGGCCAGAAATTTATTTCAGTATAAGAACAAACTATATGCATTACCAGTAGCATCACGCAAAGCAGCAGGTCAGGACGTCTTAGCCATGTATCACTGAAATGGAACTCCATGACATAGGTCGAAACAACCAATACAAGGAGAGGGAGAGAGACCATACTCCATTATAAATAGAACGGAGTAGAGGAAGCTGCCGCGGAGCGATAACTGAAAGTGACACCTGGCACTACAGACATGTAGGATATCTTACATAAGATGCTTTCTCTAACGCTGCTTTGAGATTATCCCACACTACTCTCATTGCTGCTCAATGTTCCATAGGTAGTCGAACAGTACAACAGAAAACATGTGAGAATACAGTACGACTCCTCATGAAAATGAAATTTCGCAATTCATAATTGACCACTGTGCTCAAAATCATGACAGATCACCTCCAACTACAATACAACCACAATAACTGAAAAGGAAACATGTCCTTACTGGTGGAAAAGCCTTCGCAACTGTTTCAGCATCCGCAAGCCACCATTTATCGGACTGAAGTTCTGCTTGTCCGGTTGGCAGGAGAATGACTGGTGGTCGCATTACAGGCGTCGGAATGGGATGAGGATTCGACGCTGCAATTAGGAGGCAATGCTTGTGTTGAGGAACAGTCGGAGGTTTGGGTCCTGGACAACACATCTGCTCAGAAGTCATAACCAAGAAGCGACAAACTATTCTAGTTTGAGAACATACTAAACCGAAATCATTCACAAAACCAATACATCAGAAATCCTCAATCTGAGCATCCTGCGTGGCCACGAAAAATCAAATAACCTGCAGATTAAGTTCATACAAATCATACGAAATTGTCCATTCCTGCATAGAAGAGCATCTTAGTAAATTGAAGCATGAAATCATGGTGATGGGAGTACATAATACATTAGGATTATTACCATGAGGGCCTCAGCCAAAGCCTCGGCAACAGCAGCTTCACTAAAACCACCACCCTCAAAAGTTAAAGCCGACAACCATTTGAAGAACAGATCCATACTCGATGTCCACCCACTTTGCCAGAGCAGAAAATCTACCGACCCACACATGGAAAGTTTATCAGTTATGAGACCCCAATTTGATTACAATGGTAAAACTATCGCAAACAGAGGTGAAAAAACATACAACACGATGAATACCAGAATGTGATCCATGAGTCTTGAAGACAACCAAAGCCACTTCTCCAGGTGAAGAACCATTTTTCTGCGCATTGTTTACAAAATGATTAAATACTTCTGAGATAGCTGTGTGAGATAGTTGTATTCAGAAATCATACAAAAACTACCCCGTGCAAAAATCAGCATTGCTGTTTTAAAACGTGACAGGTTATTACAATAAATGTGTGAATTTACCTGGTTATTCGACTCGTCAAAAAATGCTCTACACCAACATATCCATCCAATACCAACACGTGTCAAATTAAAATTGAGAGAAAAAAATACATTTGGTTCAAAAAGCCTGATGATAAGCAACATTTAGCTACTTGCATGTAGAAAACATCAAACTAAGAGTCGAATAGAATAATGAACTTGTTGCTTGGACTTAGAAGAATCAGTCTAAGCTACGGTGAGGACCATCAATTACAACTATGAAATTTGAAGACTTCTAGAATCTTGATGAATTACAGACAACATTGCTATCTGCCTTCTATTCAATATCCCTTCAGGTCGGCAAGTATACTCATGATTTTGCAAATCAGTAATGCCTTTAGTGAGAGAATCGTCATCAATTCATGTAAGCAGATGGCGTAAACCACACAAACTGACGGAACTACATCTACACAAAAATCTCCATTGGATATGTAATAAATTCCGGCTAATCGAACAAACTTGAATGCATTAGAAATCTTCTCCAATATAAAAACTTAAGCATGTAGGGACAGGCACACCAATTTCAAAATCAGAACAAAACATCGACAACAGAAAAATTCCTTCCAACTACGATGCAGCATAATTCCACAAGGAGGCGATTAAGGAACAGGAACAACCTGACGATTTTGTCAACATACTCAGTGAGCAGCACGGACCAGAACGGACCCAGCGCTCCTGTGGCCTCCACGGCCACTACCAGCTGCCGTTGGCTCATCGTACCTCCCTCGCAAAACCCCCTTAACCCCGCTCCACGCCCTCAACCCACCGATGATCGCACATTCAAAGCCAACGCAAGTTTGTGCAGAGTTTGAGCCACTAACGATCCCACTAGGTTCAAAACAGCCCGTTTCGCAGACAGCCATGCGTGTAGACTCCGCCAACTAATTATAAGTAATGCCACTTTCGTACCGTCAAAAGTGCAGAAGAACAGCGAAGAAATGCAAAGTCTACTTTGGGAACACGAAAGTCTGCTCATAACAACCCGAAATCAACAAGTCCACTGCCTGATCTTTGCAAGAACCGCACCACAGGCAGACATCGGAGAGTCTGCATGGGGATGGAAGCAGACAGAGGAACAGCTAAACCCATTTTCGTCCTACAACGAATGATGGCATTCATCTAATTCGGAAAATTCTGGCTGCTGGTGGCGGGACAGTGAGCTTCTGCCGCGTGGGGACCGCTTCAGAAGGGGACGCAGACGGGAGGGAACGCGCGGCAGGAATATGTGGCATTTGAATGGATATGCGAGAAGGATCACTGGCGATCTCGAAGCGCGAAAGGAAAGGTCACAGCAGCGGCGGTGCGTGGAATTGGTGTCGCTTGGTCCCTCCGGTTGCGCGCAGCCCTAGCACCACCCAGCATTAATCTTGTATTCATTCTCATCTACAAGAATACAATCGTGGAATCAGTCTGACGTGCGGAATCTAACTTAACGGCTTTAGTTGTGAGATTCCCGAGGTAATTCACCTGGTCGTGCTTTGGTTGCGGGACTGAACATTAGTGCCGCGCGCGTGTGTGTGGAGATCAAAGTCACGCGAAGCTTTTTGCTTGTATAGCTGGATTTGTGTGCGTCGTTGCTGCTGTGTCGCATGACGCGGAGAAGACGTGGTATGTAGGTTAGAGGCGCGTGGAACGGACTGAAGCTTGTGCTTGTGATTGATCGAGTTTGTGAAGTTGAAGTGTGGTTTTGTGTGAAATTGCGACGGCAGGGGTGTCGGTGTGTGGTTGAGATCTGATTGATTGCAGTGAGCTTCAGTTGCTACGGTATTGAGAGTGGTTGAGCGGTTTGTGCGGAGGCTTGTGTGGATTTGTTTGTTAACTGTTTTCGGCTTGCCAAGAATTTGGTCAAAGTTCGCGTTCTGCGGATTGTTGGTTGATTTGATGCTCTAAGAGCCCGGGTTGTGGCAGTTGGTAGGTGGTAACCTTTCTCTTTGCGTTCGCCGTGGTGGAATACCAGAGCGTTTGATTCGGGGAATTAGCGGTGAACTTGCTTGTTATTTGCTGGTTTCCATCCTTGATAGAGACCGAGTTGTGGGAGGCTTATTTCGTCTTTGTCACGAATCTAGTGCTCACTTTTTATTTTTTTATATTTTGGATTGCATGAAGGTGAAGGGTATATGTAGTATGAACCAAACTTATGTCTTGTACGAATCTCGGAAACGAGTACAGTTGACCTAATTTGCAGTGATATTGTTATCAATTTTATATATAATTGCTAGAGTCACGAATCATTGATAGGCTGGTTTTGTCGTGTTGGTATTTGGTGCGGTTTGTGCACGTCGATCATCGTCGATATTCACCTTTCGTCTTATCCGTGGTGTTGCCGTGGTGTTGTGGTACTCGACATGTTCTTATTGTTCTGTTATTCGTCATGCATTTTGCAGGTCATGGTTGAGAGAGGTTTCGGAGGACTTATATCAATTTTTTTGTGATACTGAGGGTTCACTCTGGCAGCTTTTATTATTTATCCGTCTCGCACCGGTGGGCAGGTGTGGGGCCTTGGCAGTTGCCCAGCCCTCGCTGGACATCAGAAGGCTAGACACTCACAGGTCTGGAGGGCTTGTCGCATGGTGCAGGGGTTGGCATTGGATTACGGCTAATATTGTTTTTGGCGTGATCCCTTGATTGAAATCAATGTAGACAGCTGGGTTGGGGTCAGGATATGGCCTCTTATCCTTGTGGTTCTACTACATTGTAATCAATCTCGTATTTGGATTTTAGTGCTGGTCCTCAACTACTTAAGCGATAGAGTTAAACTATAAAATTTAAAAGAAAACAAACGAACTCAAAAAGGTACCGTGTACAACATCAGAGGGAGTAGACAATTGTTTTAACTGAGTAATATGAGCATGTTACCTCTAAAATTTACACGACAGCTACAAGATACCTTCATATCTTGATGGAATTTAGCGAGGGTGGTTTCAGTGGGAAATATTTTTTGTTTGGGGAGTGGTACGTGTGGAGGAAAGGGGTTTGAGGAAGGTAGTGATCGACTTCGCGATTTCCTGCGAGCTTTGTGGAAAGCATAGAGAGATCATGGGCAAGATACATTGTTTGACATCAATGTTTGTTTGCAAGACTAAACTGAAGGTATTTGTTTCTCTTTCGCTCTATCGTGTTGGTTAATTCTATATGTTCTTAAGCAACGCACTGTTATGTTGATGGTCCCATGAATGTTCAGTGAACGTGATCTTCCATGGGTCGTAGTCTTGTCCACTGTGGCCGTGAACAAATGCAATTCCTTCCTATGGTGATGTCCCATGAACTGGCTGGTGACAATTGACGTATTGATCGAAATACTTATTTCTATGCCATGGGACAGAGTATCACTTCTGCAGAATGTGCAGAGAGTGAAAGTGTGTGGGGGTCATCACGGAAGCAACTCTCTTCAAAAGACGGTGACAGTTTGTCTCAGAGTTCCCAGAAAGACTTCATTGCAAAGGATGACAGCACTAATAGTGTTGCGAATGACAATAGCAGTCTTATGACTATGCCTGCTGGCAACACGTCTAAGAAGCTAGTATCTGTTTCTTCCATAACAGAATGGGTAAAACAAGGTGACGTGTCATGCAGGGACTCTCCTTGCGTCGAAGTCTCACAAGCAAGTCACGCTGAATTATTTGAATTTGATACAACAGGCGTAAATAAGATGAAAAACGATGAGGCCCATAGCCACGATAACCACATATCCGGCGGTATGAAGGCTGCCGAAGCATTTGTGGAAGGTGCATACGAGGGTGACGAGGAGGAAGAGTTTGAGAGTACGCACAGAGTCATTTCAAAGTCTTAGTTGGCGGCACAGTAGTAACGTTCTTAGTTTGCGTTCTGGAGGATTTCATGACAAACGTTTGTAACGTTGTTTCCTGTGAATTCTCAGGTAATGGAGTACATGTTGTTTTTCGGTCTTTAATCAATTATAGTTTCTGGCGATTTGATGACTTCAATTGTCTGTTCATTGCAGAAGACCGAAATTCTCGCAGTATCCGGACTGGGCGTCATTCCGAGGGATCACGTAGTGGTCAGCTTTTTCCAGATGAACGGCACTCAGGGTCTAGTGCGGGCGATGCATCTGCTACATATTATGAGCTCCACTCCAACATGGCTTGCAAGTCTGGCACAGCAGCAGGGCATATCTTTGATGAGGAAGGTGTTGGAGATTACGCCAGTGATCCAGGTGTTTACCATGATGACTCCTGTCTGAACCCATTGGAAAAAGACTTGGAGGATGATCAACTCTGCCATGGTGAAGATGCAGATCACTTCCTCAAGAAAGCCCGTAGTGAAGGAGGTCTGTACGAACTGGGGCTTATATCTCAGCAACTTACAGGTCAATCAACTGAACAAGATTTGGCACATCATTCTCAAGGAAGCCCATCATATCAAGGTATCAGCAGACAGGACTCCTCCATTCACTTGCCAAAAGGTCTAGTTGAAGGTCCCCACTCAGAAATTGATCAAAGAGATGCCAAAGATCTTTTCTTGAATGAGAGGTCTTCTGACAAAGGTAATGTAGTCCTGAAGCATTAACCCTTATGAAAGGTTTTAATAATTTCACATCGTACAACCATCGCGATAAAGATGCTTTGATTGCGAGTTCTACTCTTAGCAGATCTGACAGATTACTAATTTTTGGTGCAACTGGATATTCCTCAGATGTCGATTACTGCAATGGTTCCTCAAGGTTGGAATTTGACGCATATTATCCCAGGAGTGATGTTCATAACCCCGAGAGCATACGTAGTGGATCTTTCTTACAAAAAGATGACATTGCGGAATTTGATGCTGACAATGTTAAGTCACATAATTCGGCTGGAGTTGATGGAGTCCCTGATGGTTGCATATCTGGTCACTTTCAAGATTTGAACTTGGATTTAGTTGCTGGGCACGATGAGAATGACCACACTAAGCAAGACGCGAGAGCGTCTGAGCTAGACCGGCCTAATTTGTCAAGGGTTGAGGAGTGGATTAGGAGTATAGAACCAACTCCCTTCTTAGCAGATGAAGAAGTTGAGCCCACAGCTTACTCAGATACAGAGCCTTCAGCACCGGCCGCTTCCTTTTTCCGGGCTAGAGCTCGACCTGATCAGATGCATCTAGATGGAATCGCTCTTGTGGACCGTAGAAACCATCAGGGAGAGCAACTGATAGATGCTGACAGTGAAATGGCAAGCTTTATTGCTCGGTCTGTGAATCCACTTTGTACAGTGGCTCATTTCTCGGGAGTGGGATTAAAGTTACCTCCACCCCTTGGCGCGCACAATAATTTGAAAACTCTCAACCTCTCTGCCAACGCTATCGGTGTGTACGCAATGGTCATTGCATGGATGTAAATTTGTGTAGCAATTGACAGTTAGCTTTGGTCTATGTTATATTGTAGGTGTTCCCCTGTAACATAGTATGATTGAAATTAAAGTACTACGTGTGGCTGATTTGATCTTGGCCTTGACTCTGTAGCCTGCATTCTAAGTAATCAGTCTTTTTTCGAGTTATGTACTAATATGATTCCTCTGGTGCAGTACGCATGTTACCCGGGTGTCTTCCAAAGAGCTTACATACATTGGATTTGTCACGAAATAAGATAGTTGTGATAGAAGGGCTCCGTGAACTCTCTCGACTCCGTGTGCTGAACCTATCACATAATCGAATTATTCGAATTGGACATGGTGAGTGTCACATAACATTCAATATTATGTGAAGTATGTTGCAATTAGATTTTATATTATGTACTGCAACCACTGGCATTTCTGATTCTAATAAATCTTGATGTATAGTTAGGTTCCACAAATTATCGTGTAACGAATGATTAATTGATTTTATGTCAATCACTCGTCATAATTTTCAGGTTGGCAAGCATTTGCTTTTGTTGGTACTAAAGGATTATCATAACTTCCACAGGTTTGGCGAACTGTACTTCTTTGAGGGAAATCTATTTGGCTGGTAACAAGATTAGCGAGATTGAGGGACTACATCGACTACTGAAACTTAGCTTCATTGATTTGAGTTTCAACAAAATCGCCTCAGCTAAATCTATTGGGCAGCTAGCCGCCAACTACAATTCCCTCCAGGCAATCAACCTTTTGGGAAATCCATTACACAGCAACCTTGGTGAGGAGCCATTACGGAAATTGATCGTTGGACTTACTCCGCATGTAGTGTACCTTAACAAACAAGCTACGAAGGCCGTATCTGCACGAGATGCTTCAGTGGATAGCGTGGCCAGAGCTGCTTTGGCAAATCCTAGTCACCACACTCACCAACGAGGAAAGACCTCTTCACAAAGCAAATCCCTTCGGCGAAGCGGTGCGCCTGCCTCATCCACTGCTTCCAGCCCCCGTCACCGGGACAAACGGACTGGCGAGAAGTCTGCAGCAGGTCGTACCAATGCACTGAAGAGTAGAACGCCCTCTGAGCTGCCTCCTCGACATCGATATTCTCACAGCCGGCTTGTTCATGGCTCTGGGGTCACTAAGGATCACCCTCGTTCAGCCCATCTTCCAATGCCTCCACCAGTCCAGAATTTTATCAGAGCCGAGGAAAAGGTTTAATTGACCTGACGTTTGCAATATTGTTGCAGTCGGAGACAAGACTAGAGGAAGGAAGTTTAGCAAGTTTGTCCGTTTGGTTTGGTGTTCACAATATCTGCAGAGTTGTGTTAGCAACCTGGTCATTTCTGTTTCAGTGTACGGTATGTTAGTGCTCTAAAAGTTTGATATGTTCATGCCATAATGAATACCCTGTGGGCATTTTCATTTTAATATTGCTGCCTTAATTAATTGATGAGATTCTCTGGCATGAGAATTTTTGTTTCTTCAGAAAAACTAATACTACTATGATTATTTTTATTATTATAATAGTGACATGAGCATAATAGTGGCATGATTGGGTTCTTTACACCAGTCCTTATGATTTAGACTTGAGGGACTTTTTGTCTTGCCAACCTATTTAACTTTTTGATCTGAAGGATTTGAATTTTCTCTCTATGAAATTGTAGTCTCATTTACTCTTTCAGATAATCAAATGAAGTCATTGCTGAACCTCTAGCAACTGTCTTTTTTCACATCATTTCGAATGTGGGAACAACTCTAGTATTTCCCACATGGTAAAACTTGTCTTTTTCTGTGAATGCTTACGGAGAACGGCATTTAAGAGTTTTGGATTGATAAAGCTGTATATGTAAAGATCTTCATTGAATAGAGTAGTTATACTCGAACCTTCAAAATCACCTTTCAACTTCAATCACTTACATTATTATACACAACAAATTATCATAAATATTTTTCATGTGTAATTTTGACATATAATAATCAATTTTTGTTGTTGTGCTCAATACTCAGTTTTTTGTATTTTGTTTAAGTCATGAATACTTTATACTAGCTTCTTTTTCTTGTTCTTTTGACCACTTGATAAAAATTCCTTCATGTTTTTTAAGTTAAAGTTGTTTACTTTTTTATTACGTTCCTGAAAAAAGGGTATATTATTTTTCAAATCGTTCTGATTGAAAAATTGATGGCATGAACACAGATTCAAGAGTCATGAAGAAATTCATAACTTTATTCGCATGAATTTGCTCATATTAGTTACCAATTTTTGGATGCTAAAATACGTATCTCTTCCCGGTCAGACACAGATGTGCATGAGAGCCGTCTAATTTGAATAGAAACATTATGTTTGATAGCATTTCATCTTCTAAAAAATAAACAAGGCAATTCAGCGGAATACCAAATTTATTACATAACAACTTGAAGACATCAGAGCACAGAAAATTGAATTTATAATTCCGTCGTCACGTAGAATTTAATCTCTACTTCAACACTCAAGTCACACCACGCAACGCTGTTCAGACACTGCAAACAGAAATGAAAACACTAGGTTCGTACAAGATGTACACATCAGCATCGATGCATCAAGTGTAATAGCGAATCCACAACAAACATGTGTCTGAAGGAGTCACCGTGCAAGTGCAGTGCAGCACCGAAACGAGCCAGGTGATGTGCACACCACAAGGACTCTCACGAAAAATGCCTGCCCGACATAGTTCGACAGATTGCAATGAACACAGATTTCAGCTAATGTGGTGAAGTTAAAAAGGAGCCGGTTACATCGTCTTAGACGTTGGCATCACAGATGGAAATACTCCGCACTGAATTTACATGGACATCTCCCGTGAGGCGGGCAGTCTAGCCTCTGCAGCTACACGGGATAGTTGTAAATGACTGTAGGACGCATGATGTTTGGGTGTTTTATGACAGCACTATTTGGTCAGTGATCTACCTCCACTATCTGTCACTATCACCTCGTATCGACAGTGATCATGCGTGAAGAGAAGATTCTACCACAATGGCCGATGAGACAAAATTAACAGCATTAACGTGTTGATCCGGCTCCAACTCTCAGTCTACCGGGGCGACATTCTCACTGGAGGATCGGTTCGTCTACCCTGGATGCGTTCAAGTAAACAGCACTAATGTATTAATCCTCCCGATTGAAAACCGCAGCGGGGAAATATTCAATGGCGGGGGTCAACTACACTGGCCGCACAGATGTAAGGGATTGTAGTATAAGTACAAGTAACTACCCAATTTCTAAGCCAAGTTTCGGAGTGTGCGTACAAGGGAGAGGCGCTTGAAGCTGCGGGAGGATGTGGAGTTCCGCAGAAGTGCAGGGACAAGAGTGGAGTAAGATCTTCGCAATTGCCATTTATGAGGGATTTCGCATGCTGGGACTTCGTCGAGAGGCTGGTGCCAAGCCGATTCGTGGGGTCCACAAAGAGTCTTCTCGTTGTCAGATCCATCCTCTTCGCCCTGAGAATCGGCGTCTTCCACGCGGCATGAGGATGGCCGTGCACTGACCGTGGAGGGAGAAGAGGGAGTAGCGATATTAACATATGGTGTACTGTTATTAGAGCCAAAGAAAGAAGACTCACTGGAGGCCAAAGAGCATGGTGTGCCGGATTGATCGCTCACAACATCGGAATCATAAGAACTGTCGAGATCTTCTAAGGGAAACAACTGGCCACTATTCTCTATAACTCGGGCAGCATCGGACGTGAAGCACGACGTGGCATTGACGGATTTCCGTCGTAGTCTACTCAACTTCTTCAAAACCTTCACGGCAAGTTGCGTCTCAGGCAATGCAGGTAGATCTGGTTCAAAACCTTCAAAAGTGAAAGACTGTGGTTTAGGAGAGCTTCGAATGCATGGAGGCGGGCGGAGCGGGCTCATCCATGGTTCAACTACCGGCGAGGGCTCTATAATGGGCCTTCCAGGAACTGCTTCCCACTTGTACGGTATCGCAACTGAGGAACTACAGCTCCCTAAGTCACTCTCTTCCTCCATCGATCACCTTTGATCACTCTAATGATGCATAAGCTTAAAGTAAACAATGCAGCAATGCAACGAATTTGCGTTTGTGAAAGTCGTACAACTTCACGATTCTGGAAGATCCTGATGGTGAGTGGACACTCCTAATACCACTTCTGCTAACAAAAGGAAATCCGATAATACTCGAGGCCAAATCCAGATTTCATTCAAGCAGATCCGAAGTTGATAGTAGCAACTAGGATGCGCGCGCGTGTTTCGAATCAAACTTGAGTGTAGCAAAACTACTGGCCTTCGTGTGTGAGAGTGTCGAAGAGACACTGATTCAAGAGAGGAGAACAAAAGCACTGAGATCGGCTCTGCACACTGATGCGTGAAGAAGTCACGACCCTCTTCCGCTACAATTTGATAGACTGAGGTGTGTTCGAGATTACAGCGCACTGAAGTAACGAGGTGCAACATAAAGATTCAGAAACTAGTCGAGAGATCCAGAACCCGACAGAACACAGAAGCGCACGAGGAAACACATCGAGGAAATGTAGGGGGGGGGGGAGATGGCTGGGGCGGATGATACGCAGGAGCTAGGGAGGTGTGATGAACGAGCTCAAGCGCGTCCAGTGACTGCGGCGACGTTCCAGGCTAACGGTTGAGGCCTCCCGCCGTAACTCTCGCTGCCTCGCTGCAGCACACGCCTTTCTGAAACACAAGCTAAGAATGGTGTTCAGGACAGGAGATCGATGCGATCTCTTTCCACTTTTTCGAAACGCTACATGTGTTGCACCATAATAGTCGGGATCTGCCAAAAGTAGAGCACGCAGCCCTACAAATCCTCGTGTTCCTTTTGAAGTGCGGTCCACAGCCCTGTGACGCAACCACATGAAACAAGTATGTGTGGTTATTCCATCTATTTCCGGTAAGACCCAGGTCAGAAACCACATGGAAGACCCCATGAATTGCTTCGGCTATTTCTAAACTTGAACCCCAGGCCTAGAGACTACCATCACTCTTTCTTTCTCAGTCTGTGGACCTTCCTTCACCGAGACTGATACCCTTCACCCACCTTCATAAAACTCAACATACTCTTGCTTGGTCAGATCATACTCATCCAACTAAAATCCATACTTTGATAGAGTTTTTAAATTTATCCTTCGTACGTTGCGACATACTCTTTGTTTGAGAACACAGATTAGGGTTTATCCAACTTTGATTGGTATTCTTTTGAATCATTGTTGAGACTGTCCTTGGGTGTTGGTTCAAACTAAATGGTTTTGGCAGAGGTGGAGTCGGTGTATTGTTAAGTCCTTTTGTGTCCTTGGTTACAAACGTGGAAGTTTTATATTACAAGACAATTTCTTTTGTTAATTTTTGACTGAAGACTAATTTGTGAATTGGGTGCTGCGAATGTAAAAGGCAAAGAAACACTATTTAAAGAAGTTTTTATAAAGTGATCTCTTTGTGCTTTTGTCTCCAGATATTAGTTGGGTAGTAGGGGGTGACAAACATGATAAATACATCTCCTAACAAAATCTACATGCTCCATGTAGAAGACACTGAAATTAATATGAATTTAGCTCTCAAGGGATGTTTGCTTGTAATTGACTACTTTCCTTCTAGTGTCAACATTTTAAAATTCTTAAAATAGACATCGTAGTTTTATGATTATAGTCACATTTGAAAGATTATATAAATTCACAATGTGTTTTTTTAAATGAACAACTCTTTAAATAAGCCTTTATGGTGTATAAGTATAACATTTAAATTTCATATATATATATATATATATATATATCTGTTATAACTATGTTACAAGTTATATGTTATATCTGTATAACATATGTACACATATACATATTGTATATGTTTAATATATATATATATATATATATATGTGTGTGTGTGTGTTATCTCCAGTATCTATAAACTTAATTCATTTGAGGATTTCAAAGATTCTTATGTTGACTGTCTAAATTCCTAGAGTATTCACCCAAATAGAACACAATCAGCTCCCCTTGCAACACAACCCTGGCTCAGTTATGTTTTAAACAAACACAAAAAAATAAGTTAAAAGCAAGCTCATCTGTTTAGGTTAAAAGAAAAGAAACGGAATGTGCTGGAAAGAAATCGCCCCTCCTTTCCCTCCTCAACCTTAAAATACATAGAGCATGTAAGATTGGAAGTGGGTATTTGGAACAGTGCATATCTCACCGACTAAAAGTGTCACCTTTGTCAAACCCTAAAATCACGCTTAATTTCGGTGAATGACACCCTCAAATAGCATTCTGAGAAACCACCGTAACCACCCTTTGATTCGGACCACCGCCGAGCTGGTCAAGCTTTGCGTCCAGACACAGAAGATCAGTTTGCCAAGAGTTGCGCGTGCAACATCGCTGAACTGTGATCCTTTTGATGACCTCGGTCCATTCCAATAAATGCAGCAGATGAATGAGCAGGCTGATTGCTGAGCACGGTCACATATTAAGTGTGGACGTAATGCATGAGACTTAAGGATATCCCTGTACAAATTGGCTGCTGCATTATTGTAATATACGGCAATGGACGACATCGCTGGGTTGCAAATTGCTATGTAGTGGAGGGATTGAAGTTGGTGAGATTTGTGCTGAGAGCGGAGCAAATTTCAGAAGTCCTGGTTTCATTCCGAGGCGAAGCTAGGAAACGAATGATGAGGTCAATCGTAGACGTGGTAAACCACGCTGCGTGTAATTTAGACCTGAAAAGTTTTCCGAGTGGTGAAACCCTTCAAAATTGATGCCCTTTCGCGAGATTATCCAATACACTGTCCGCAAAAGAAACATAGTAGAAAAAAGAAAATGATGAGGGAAACCAATTGTGTGCAAAGCAACTGTTAATGCAATGGGCCTCAGATAGCATGATCCATTTAGGGTATTAGACCATCGTCATCCATACAAGATCATCTTAGAGTGGATTGAATACTGACGTTTATATCGTTCTCCACTTTTATAAAATTTTCAGAATTCGAGATGGTGAGTATAATTTTATGTTTGGGTGTTTTATACATGTGGTTGTCTCATCAAATTCTGTCTTCTTTTGACTTGTTATTTTGGTGGTAGCGTGGTGTTTAGTGGTTGTTAATGGGAATCCACAACTGGTACTGTTCTGTGCCACAGTTGATTCAAGACCGAATGAGTGAGCAGTAGCACCGCACACTTGGCCATGGCCGTAGAACCGAAAGAGTGGGTTTCAGAAGCAGCGCAGACATCATTTCGGGATAGCGAAACTCAACATCTTGTTTGGGATTCTACCACAGAGCCTCCTCGCCATCCTTTCACTTTTCCCCGGGGTCGAGGACTGCATTACCCTGTTATCTTTGATCCAGGTTCGATGCATTCCAACAGATCACTTTGAGCAATTGCAGATTATCACTCACATATGAACCCTCACATTGGGCAATGGTGTAGAAAATACACATTATTCTTGTTCGCAACTCAGTCCCGGAAACAGTACCCCCTTGAAATTATTCTTTGAACCATTCGTAATAACCGAACTTCAGTGGCACTAATTGAGGCACACGATAAGGTTCAAAGTTAGGATTATGATATTTAAAATCCAGACTCTTTTTCGATCCCTGGTCACACAACCTCAAGCCATGCTCACTCGAATCGTGCTAATTTGAGAGGATAATGTCATTGGAGCTCTCTAAATTTCAAATAAGTTGCGCCGTGAAAAATGTGTGAAAAGGTGGGGATGGGTTTCAGCATGGCCAGTTCACATAGCGGCGCCGAAGAGATTGACGCCACCAGTTGCGCCCTTGAAGGAAAATTTTGCGATCGGAACGTATGCGTTGAAAGGAATGACCTTAGGTGAAACAGAAAGAAAGCCCATTAAGAAAACGCTCGTTTTCCCACATCGTAACACCGACTTGCCGTTTCGACATCCTACACTAAAGGTGCAAAAATTCTGGCCCATCCCTTCATCCTCTACCACAACCTTTCATCAAATTCCAATGAATAAGCGTCAATTCTCGCTACTGAGAGTCCCACTCTTCTCCATTTAAGCGCCTCTCAGCGAAAGTGTAGTTCGTTGACACGGAACGATACGAATCGCTAGTGCTGCAGCATCTGCATCATCCAATCAACAGGTCAAATTACGCGTCGAATTTCCTGCAGCGCCAAGTGTAACTACGCACATTCTGTGAAGTGAATGCATGTGTGCAGGCAGTGAAAGAGCGAGGACGTGAGCCATACGAGACTCTCACTTTAGAAGGTGCGGTTCCCGCGTCATCCTGAGCTTGTTCAATATTCTACTGCCGTCAATCCGACTGCGAAGTAATAGTTGTCACCTCACCTCCAGGCGAGCAAATGCAGCGTCTCTCTCGCTCAACCCTAATGTCATGCTGAACGGAACAAGCCTGGCTGTGGATGCAGACGTGGAGGGGTTGGAACCGAGAGTCGTGTTTAAGTCCATCTTGGAGCGGATCCCGCAGCACGACCTGCGCGACAAGCGAGAGCACCAAGCCGTTTTGCGACAGGTGTTGCGTCTGGGTCCGGCCTGTGTGGAGGATCCAGGGCCCCCAGCACCGCTCCGCAGGAAACCAAAACGACATCCTTCACCAGCTAAACGTAAGTCATGCTCGGCTTCGTCGACCTAAGCAAGCTCTGCGTGCTATTTATCTCTCAATATATCTATCGATTGATCTGTCTTTACACATCCGCGGCAGATGTGGCATCGGAATCAGCCTGAGATCCTCGTTACAGACGAAGCTCTGTGTATGGTGGAGCTCCGCGCGTAGTCCACGGCGATGGCGGCGTTGTCCCGGAGCAGGACGTCCGTGAACCCACGGATCCTTAACTTTTTCGCGCCTTCTGTTGTGAAAGACTACTTTTTGAAACTTTTGAGCTTTTCCCCCTTAATTTTCTTTTTCAAAAAGCTTAGTGAAAAACTTTGCGATGCTTTTTTACTGGGGAGCTTTTTAATATTGGATATATTAGAGTTCCTTGAGTGGTTTTTCGTATGAGGTTTATCAACTTCTGTTGTTTTCTATGCTTAATTTTGGATGCAATTGTCTTGTTCATTTTGCACTGTTACCATTTTAAAATTTTAAATTCTAAATTTCAAAATTAAGAATGAATTCTTTGTTATACCTTAATTTTTTATTGTTTTTTCTTTACATTTTTCAGTTGCATTTTGGTCACAATAAGAATGAAGTTTTAATTAAAATATTCTTTTATTCTTTCTTATTATAATTTAAAATAATTAGCTATCATTTTTATGGATTAAAAGAGCATATCCATAATACATGATGTGATTTCAAACTTTGATTTATTTTTATTTTTATTTTTTTGTAATATAATTGGTGTGAATAATAATTATTTAATTAAATACTAAAAAAAATATGCCTACCAAATTGGCATTAGCAAATATATTACAAATAGAAATAAAATGATAAAGACTATTTTTTAAAATAATCTTTTATTCTAAATCAAAAAATTGAGTTTATCTTCTAATAAATGATACTAATTAAAAAAAAGAAAGCCATGTATTAGAAATGCTTTGCATAGTAATTGAGAGCCTCTTTTATCTAAAGGTTGTCATTTTAAAATTAGCCAATGGTGGTGTTATATTGTAATACAATGATTTGGTGAAAGAGTAAATGAAGACCAATATACATATCAAAGAAATTAATTGAAATATTATTAGAGATTATTTTAGAAAACCATAGTTAATAAATTAGAGATAGTTTTTAAAATTTATTATTTTATTTTATTTTTATAAAAAATACTTCTACTTACCTTATAGGGCTATAAATAGAATAAGATAAAGAAGAATAGATATAGAATCAATGCAATCACCTTTAGGTTAAAGTTATGAGTGTTTTTTTGCAAAAATATTCATAATAGAAAGATTAGATTGATACTTAGAAAGGACCATTTATGAGATATAGTCAAAATCAGAATTTGTGGCACAAAAACAAGAATTTACTACAAAAAGATAGGTTTTTTTGGAAATCAAAGAATAAGATGAAGGCAAAGGTTTTGAACAATTTTTCCTTGTGTAAGAATATTAAATTTTTGATATAGGAATGTTCTTCTATAAAGAAAGAAAGAAAAAAAAAAGGTTTGCAAATATTAAAATTTGATAGGCAATAAATTTTAGTACAATTTCAAGCTAAAATAATGAAAATCTAAAATTATTCTATGGTTGAATCTTTGTAAGCACACTTGTGTACAAGCAAGGAACTTAATTCTAATTATGATGTGATTTTATCAATTAATTGAAAGATATTAGTATATATATATATATATATACAAGGAGATGTTGGAAAAAAAACAATTTGAGGTTACATATATTTTTTCAAAATATCTAAAGATTAAAATATTAGATGAAGTAGATTATTGAAATATTAATAAAATATACAATATTGAAACTACATATAATTTTTTTCTTCTAATTTATAAGTTGGATTTTTATCAAACCTATTCTACCTTATATCATAAAAGTTTAAAATTGATCCAATAATGCAATTAAGAATCATAGATTATTGAAGTTGTTGCTTGAATTTTATGATTTGTTTAGATTTTTATAATAATTTAATAGGAGTTGACATGATTTTTTAAGGATTTTTTTTTTTAAAAAATGAGTCATTTAAAAGATTTTTAAAATTATTTTATATATATTTATTTTAATTTATTAAGATTTGTTTAGGATTACTTTAAGAATTGCTTAGATTTTTTAAAAAAGTTGTTTAGGATTAGTAGAAAATGAGATTTGGATTTGATAGGACTTTGAATTGATTGGATTTAGGATTTTTAGAAGAATCAAGGTTGTCAAGAAGTTCATTTCAAAATATCTTATGTTTTATAGATAATAAGAAGAATTTATGGCTTTCAATAAAGTTTTTTTAGAGTCAAATGTCTAGTACATTCTCATGCTATAATTTACATAATTTGGCAATGGTAGCATAGAGGTGGATTATCCTTTGTTATCATTTATGTTATTTTAACATATCTTTTTTTGGACCTTTCAACTATATTTATTGCTCATAAATCAAAGACAATAAAAAATAAAAAAAATAAAAATAAAAACTAAAAGATTTTAAACTTATTCTAACTTAAAAACTTGATAAATATATGTGGGCAGTAAACAAAATAAAGAATCAAAGAAAATTATTCTAAAGATGGTGTAATGTATCAATCACAATATTATGAATTGTTTTAATTTTAACTTTCCTAATCCAAACATCACAATATCTACTAGGGTATCAAATAGGAGCAAGACAATTTTTGCCAACTTTAATCAACATCTATTTCTTTCATATACTAAATAGAAGAGGAGGAGGTGGAGCCTATATGTTTTCTACCCATCTATGATGCAAGTTCATACTTTCTTCTTGTTCTTCTTTTTATTTATTTTTATTTTATTTTAATTTAAAATCTAGCTAATATTTCTTCTCTTCATACTAGGTCATATTCTTTGTTGTATTACCCAATAGCTTACTTCAAATAGCTACTTTATTATCAAAACTTTTTTCTCCCAAAATTTTCTCCAAATTTGACACCTCCAATTCATTTCAAGAAATTATTTTTCCAAATGCTCAATTCAGAGATTAATAACTATTAACTAAGATATGGTATGCACCTATGGAAAGGGTGACCATGAGGGTTGCCAACGTATAAGGAGGCCACGATGGCGGACAAACAAGAAGCGAAGGTGAAGAGGGATACCAAACCTTGAGAAGGGTACACAAGCGACACTGGCCTCCCTCGAATAAGAACAAAAAATCTACAGAGAGCCACTATGGTGAAGTGACTTCAATTCTAGATGCGAATAACCAAGGACGTCAAGCTGAGTTTGAATGTGGGTCACTGTTGCCAGAAACTCAGAGCTTGATGTTAAGGTGAAGTGGCAACGGAGCTGGGTCATGCACAGAGCCAGGTCTCATGGTTAGTCAGGCCTGGACACATGCATGGTCCACATTCTGCTGCAAGTTGCAGTGGATTTCCATATTGGCCGAAATGTGTTTGTTGTGCAGCGGTGGAAGGAGTCTGAAGTGCCAGGAGTGCCCAACGAGTTCTTGCCGTGGGAAGAGAAGTTGCCTGCCACCATTCGACCGCAGTCTTTTGGCAAAAAATTTGAAACTGGAGCTGATCTTCGCACCATACCACAGCGTTGCACAGCTGCATGTCCGTGATTTGAAAGAAGAAAAAAAAAAAACAGCAGCAGCAGCCCGAATTGTTACCTTCGAAGTGAACCCTGTAAGGATGCAGACTAATCAATGTGCCCAGAGCGGAGGGGCGCAAGTTACATAGCTGACAAGGGCTCAAACATCTCACCAACATCAAGCTTTACAAGGGCTAGTAAACTACATGAAACAGCTGTGGGTCTCTGCGTGGCCGTCACGAGTACAGAGGCCTTAAATGGGGATTTGCTTACAAGAATTGAGTAGAATGCGTGTGCCAGCAGAACAGTTTTGGTTTTTAGGTACTTGGTGCTGTTTTGGCCCTGTTGCTCACCTGTAAAGTTGAAATACCTTTAATTGTGTCACGCTCTTGAACCAACCTGTAGAAGTGGTTAGAAGCAATCCTTGCACAAACCCAAAAACAACCATTCTTCTTGTAGGAAGATTCCAAGTCCACTCCAATCCCATTAATTCCAATCTGATTAATGTTGGTGGTTTAGTGTGATGGAGAGATGGTGGTTTAATGTGTGTTTTTATGGACGGTTTTGGCTAAGTCTATATGTTGGTTCAGTGGCTCAAAGGTGTAAAACCCTTTGGAATTTAATATCAATTAAACCACTACGGCTTTTGCAGTTTTTTCTTTTGGAGCACATCAGAACCTTATTTCTCCATCATTATTATATATATATATATATATATATATATATATATATATTTCCAAATAAACCCCCCCCCCCCCCCCGCGATAAGTGAAAAACCTTAAATTGTTGGTTTAAGGTATTCCGACGTTATATGTGTTTGACTGATAGGAGTGAGATATTGTGCCAGGAGGACACAATGTTCAGTTAAGTTGCGCACTATAGTATACTCGTACTTCGTATACAAATTATTCAGCAACGGTGAAGAACATAAAACAAAACTGATGTATGAGCTGTTTTGGGACCCAGATTGTGTTTCAAATACTAAACTAGAGTTCCTTATTCATAAAGCTCAACTGTGGTCTATTTTCTGACCGCGTCGCAGTAACACATGAGGTGTTGATAGGTGCAAGACAGTTATCTGAACAGAACGAGTGAAGCAGATCTGGGGAGATTAATTTCTTGAAGGTGCGATTACGTTCCTGAAGAAATAGGGCAGAAATAAATCATTAACTCGCTATGAGATCAGAAACCGGGGAGAGCAAGACAAAGAACTCTCATAATAGGTCTCAAATGAAACTACTGATCAAGCCTGAGACCTGCACCTGTCAATCGGTGATTTCCCTCTCTTCCTTAACTTCATCCGAATCGGCCCGTTCTTCTGCGGCTGCAGCTTCTTCTGTAGCCGCAGGTTCTTCTGTGGCTGCAGCCGCGTGCATGGGGCCACAGAACCTGATCACGAAGTCTGAGAATATCTGCACAGTTTTGAAGACTTCACCCGGATCCTTCTCTTTCAGCATGGCTTCTAATTCTGTTCGCATGTCCTCATAATCCTTCTCTTTGACATCATCGGCAAACTTTTCCTCATTCACATCATCTTGGATCTGTACATTGAGTTTGACACAGAAAGTGATCAAATAAAGTCGTATACAGCTGGCACTCCTACTGCTTTTAAAGCTTGCCAGTCGATTAGACCATTTCCAATGCGATCAAGGTCAAACTCACAACAGATTATGAAATTAGTCAGAAAAACAATCGCTAGGTGTTATCCCTGATCGGATATCCTCAAACTAGTTCAATCTAAGCTTTATATTTGATCTGACTCATTTTAAAACACAACCAGAAATCCAATGATCTACGTGAAATCCCATTCTAGCAAAAGGCGACTGCTTAGCTCATTTGAGCATTGGGCCTGAGGTACAAGCATCGCAGTCAAGCAAGGGTGTCGAGCTGAAGCTGCACATATCGACAAGTTTTGGGGTCCTCACCTGATGGGCTGTATAATATTCAAGCGATGACCTTGGGGGTCCTATTTTATTTTCAAGGTGAAGAGTAAAATTACCAATTTAAATGCTCAGGGCTCATGTGTACCTTCTTCATAGAAACAATCAATATTTCCATCAGAAACTAGCAATACAAGTTCAAAACGTAGAGGTAATGACCAATAACAGAACATGGAGACCATTGACCAACGATTGGTGTAGTAGAAAAGACTTACTTGTAACCAGGTTTTCTTGAGAAGTTCAAAGATCACAGCAGGTGTTGCTCGTATGCCATTCGAATAAGCAACAGTTGCAAATGCAGCCGGAGAAATACTGTCTCCCTCACCAGACATGACCTGCAATGTCTCTCTGAACATACGCAAAGCCTGTTTCTCCGAGACCGATGAATCAGCGGACTCAATAATCTCGCGAAACTCGTTGAAAGTCAAAACACCATCTTGGTTTGCATCACCAGCTTTGAAAAGTGTCTCGAGTGAGGTGCTCTGTTGGCAGTTCACAAAAATTTGAACGTGATTATTAAGAACATTTTAAAATTCTTAAACCTAAAAAGATGGTGGTCTTAAGTAGTTTCAGTTTGAAGGAGATCATATGGTATCAATCGTGACCATAATCAAGAATTAGAAACTATATCATAAAAGGAAGACAAGACAAAACATTGAAGAAACGCAATCGTAAGCATTCGTTACGAATCCCTCACTTCTTCTTTGGTTATCGCTGGTGCAGCCTTTGTAGCAGCTTTCTTTTTGGGTGGCATCTTGAAATCAGCCTGTAATCCAAATCAAAACCTTCAACATTACAACTCGCTTTGCCGTTTCTAGATACCTTTCAACTCTAGGCTACACAACGTAGACTTACTCAGACCCGTGATTAATATAAGGTAACAAAAAGTGATCTAAAAGAAAGCATCAAGAGAAAACTATGGCATAAATCAAAATGACCCCCCACCCCCCCCCCCCCCCCCTTCCTTTTTTTCCTCTTCCAACATAAGAGACTTAAATAACACTATCTTACACAAATCTCAAAAGCCATTGATGTGCAGAATTTAAACTAGTAACATTACTTAAGCATTACTCAACACTCTATGAACTATTGATCTACAGAAAGCTAGAAAAAATTTCTTTTTCAAGAACTAAAACATTTAGCCTAAGGAAAGGATAACCACTTTGTGTGGTGCTACTTCGATGATGGCCTCCATCAGCAAATCAAAGTCAACTTTTCTAACAGTGGGTGCTTTCACCAACTTTTGCACCTGCAGTAGCACCCCAACTAAAGCTTTATGGCAACACTCACTGTCATCAATCATTAACAACTAAAAATTACTGAGTGCTTATGAACATAAAGAAATAAACAATGGCAGCCAGTAACAACATCCGAGAAAAAGAAAAAAAGAAACGAAACGAAACTTAGAAATTGACCATTGAAGAACGTGGTTTACCTCATTTGAAACTTTTTCAACGGATCCATTAGCTGCCGAGAATTGCTCAATAAAATCTAATGCGACATCCTTATCATCTTTAAATTGTGCAAGCAGTGCGGGTTCTTCTAATAGAATATCCGCCTGATTAGGATTGGTGTTCATGACAGTGTCTTGTTCATTGTCACTTGGGAAAAGAACACCCACTTTGCTTTGTGCCCTGGCTAGGCACCTGAGGTAGAGATAAAAGTCAGGTTCCCCATACCCTCGAAGTGGATCAAAGCCACAAAATTGTTGGAAGAGTCGCAACTGTAAGGCACGCATCGATCATTGAGTAATAGAGAACAAAAAATGATCCAAGGATATTAAATTTGTTCCAACTTCAAACCATCAATTGCTTTGGCATCAAAAGATAACACTCCCCTAAAAACACCCTAATAGCAGAGAAGTAAAAAATCAAATCTGACATTCATGTGACCTAAAAACCTGTTAGCAACCCACGCAAATCAATGTAAAATATATAAACCGTGAATAGAGAAGTTTTACGTACATCCAAAAGTGCTAGAATAGCACTTGTTAGGAACCCATGATTTCAACTATGTGGAGAAACTACACTTCACAACATGTTGGTAGAGAGAAATAATACATGGATTGATAATCATGACCTGGAGTCAAACCAGAAGAGGAGAACGAAAGCGCACATCATCAAGTTTTCACCTTGTGGCACTTGTCTATGCCTTTGACCATCATCTGCTTGATCCTCCTGAAGACTCCGTGCACAGCTGATTCTGCTAGTCCTTTAAGACCGTAAGAATTGAGCATGAAGTCGTATAGAAATTCGCAAGCTGTCTGCCGTTCATTTCCTTGAAGGTCATCAACAGCATCAGCTTCAATCTTCTTTTGATAAACTGCATCCACAAGCTTGACCACCTGCAAACAAAGATGCCGTAATACCCAATCCGTAAAGTATGTCATGAGGCAATGGAAATTTATAGGAATCCTTTATCTCCAGCATGTGAGACTTTTGTTGGTCCAAAATGCAGCATTTCATTAGACACTTAGATGACACATCACCTTCCGCATAGGCTATTTGTCGCTAGTACTTCGATAATAGTTATTAGGGAAAAGAGCACATCAGCATAGGCAACACAAAATTAACTCTCATAAAATGGAGGGATTTCATCAACTGAAAAATAGGAAGTTGATACTGGGAAAGTATGAGGTCAAAAAGTTAAAGGGGACTTCGTAGGTCGAATGAGACACATTAAAGGTGATAATGATGTCGTGATGTAGATGCACAGTCACCATCGACACGTTTCTCAAACACTCACGGAAACAGCAATCCAACTATGAATGACTTCATAAGAAAGTCGGACTTAAATCGTTTCACCCTAGCTATGGTCATTACAAAAGTTTTGATAACAGACCTGATGTTCATTGAACAGCTTGACAATTTTTGGAGGTGGATTGACTTTCATCATCTTGGAAAACGCAAGTGGTATGTTAGGTAAGTCCTTTGGCTTCGTCCTAAACACAAGATAAAACGATCAGTGAGAACACGAATCCTGAGATTGAAAAGCAGTAGGCATGTGAATGACAAATTAAGATATTTAACGAGGAATAAGATTAGTTTGAAATGTATAAGTTTCACACATTTTGGCTGGTGGCTTCTTTTGCCGTGCTAGCAGCTCTTGAACAACAGCTACAAAATTTTTAGTATTTTTTTTCTTTTCTTCAAACCCACGCTGTAGCTTTCCCCACCTGATGGAAATCAAACAAACAAAAGGAAAAAAAAGGTCATCAGCAAGTACAACGATTGTGGAACGCTACAAGCCTTTATAAAGATCGTAGAAATATTAGAATGATGTGTGGTTTTTATTCTTCTATATCATTAATGAAACTCTTAACTGTCAACCACCATAGCAATTTTCATATTACAATTTTCGACATAAATTAATGCGAAATCCAATGCCAATACTTCCTAAAGACGATCTGGGACTAATAATTGTTACCTAGACTTCTTCGTCCCACTTCCACCTTCACCTTCGTCTTCGTCATCCACCTCATCAGGCCCAGTACTGAGTTTCAAATTGCGAAATCTTCCAAGCAAGTTAAAGAGCGTCTGAGTCATCTTTTCTTCCAATTGATCATCAGGAACGTGCTCTAGTACGTTAATGCTGTCCATTGCTAGACTCTTAAGAGCTTTCTTGTCAATGGTCTGAACCTCGACTTCTTCAGCCATGTCGTCAGTAGCTTCTAACATAGCCATGTCTGCAGCTGACAAACCTATCACCTCAGGCTCCTTCTTATCTTGCTCTTCTTCTCCATCAGCTCGATCCCTCTTTACCATCCCGCCTGCCAATGCAAACTCTTCCATGATAGCCGTCACCATCTTTGCCGGAGCTGACACTGGTCTTTTCAGAATGTTGAAGAAGAGGCTCCTTCCTGTCTTTTCTGGATCTGTTTGTACTCCCACATTCGCACGCAGTCCATCAGGGTGAAGGTAACCTTCCGATATCTTACCGTGTTTGTTTGCATTCAGGTCTTCTCGTTTACCTACACCTTCAATAGAGCCCCCAGCATTGCCTTGATCACCAGGACCGGCAGAAACAGTCCCACCATGCTCTCCTCTAGGTTTGGCATCCCCAGTTTCTGCCCCTCCTCCAGGACCGCTACCTTCGGCGTCCTCATCTCCTATATTTAAATTGATTGCATTACTAAAATGAACTAGTGAGGGTTTTCACAAAATGGTTGACTTAGTAATTGCTACGACCCCATCTGCATCATAAAACTCTAAAGTCGATCGCTGTATTTTGAAGAAATAAATTCCAAGACTTCTCCATTGTGCATATTTACTTTTTTGTAAGACCAAAAGTTCAGAGCCTCGCCTATTATTGTGCTTGTTAATGTAAGCATAAATCTACAATCTTCAACAACTAGGATGCATCATTCAAAGTGACGGACAGTCACACAGATGACGCATCTCAAAAAGTGAGTCAAATCAAAACAAACAGACAAGGCCATATTGTTCACAACATCAAACAGAGAAGGAAATTAATACGGCAAGTGGAGTTGAGTTTGTAGTACGTAATGCAAATTAAAACTGTTGAATTGGCACATTAGCCGAGCAGCAGATAATTTACCCCTTTGATGAGATTTCTCAAAGCCAAAGCTTCCATCGTCTCCCACCGCAGACTCTCCACTAGCACCAACTCCATGCTTCCCTTCAATTCCGGATCCATGTTTTCCTTTTCGACCACGAGAATCTCGACCCTGGTCGTCTCCTCCAGCACAGAAACGGCATCGTTTTAACTGAGTCCATTGGACCTCCTTTTCCCTAAGCTGCGCCTGAGTAACCTCTAGATTATGGGTGGTCAATGCTAGCTCATCAGATATTTGATTTATTTTTTTTCTATCAGATTGAATGATTTCTTTCAGATGAGAAGTTTCCTCAAGAGCTGCCAGTAGCTTTGGTTCAACTCGAATTATAACCTGTGGAAGCGATTTAACTGCTTGTGAGAGGGCTGTATGTATGAGTATCTTCACGTTCCATTACTTAAATGAAAAAAATATTGTGAACTTATTGATATGAAGGACTATAGAGAACTTCACAAGTGTGTAGTTTCTGAGATCATATATCCAATAGCAACGACATTTGTGACAGTCTACCACCTAAGTGGGCTTGCTACGAAAGCTAGAACACCCACATATGTTGCAACCACTCAGAACATTATTACGTTATAATATTGAATGACTAACCTCATAAACCCAGTACCTCAAACAAACGAAAGGTGACTAATTGAATTGGCTTATCGATGCATGTGAGATTAGCACTTGAACTCTCAAACCTACTCATACCTTCACCTAAGCAGCAAGAAATATGTAATAGGTCAAAGACTGAAAGGGAGATAGACCTGAGTGAAAACGCGCAAAATCTGCCGCCACACATGTAGCAACATATCTCCTCTCTCTTCACATTGGAGGCGCACCTTTACCAAAGACATGGGTATCAGTTCACAGGCCTTTCGTGGATTTTGTGTACAATTGCCCCTCATTAACATCTGCATACATTTCTAAAACTAAAAGGTTTTTGCAATCGATTCAGTGAGCACTGTTGATTTTCATATGCCAATCTAAATCGTAATAGCTACAAAGAAAGCAATCAAAAAACAATTATAGAATGCGCAACAAACAAATACTGAGGGTTGAACAATGGCCTGACAGGAATTTTCTTGCATACCTGGCGTACAACTTCCAAAAATGCAATTGCATGCAAAATGAAGGCAGAGCATATATCAGCAAATCGGCCATCGTAATGCTCGCAATTATTTTGACGCATTGAATATCTGAGCCATTCTCCTAGAAGTTCAATTTTATCTTTGTTCGCTGGCTGCATCATCATCAAATCACAACAATGATTCAGGAAGACATGCCTTGTTCGAAGTCAAACAAAAACCGTCCGCAATCAAGGTTTTTAGGTATAAAACAGCGCATGAATGAACATTTTGATGCTAAGAAGTTGAACCAAACTGGGGTCTTGATAAGCTACGTACAGGTTACACCAAGAACCAATTACTTACATTCAACGAAAGCTGGTATTTTGCAAGCGCCACACCTCAAAAAACAAAAATTTCTATCGAAAAAAGAGGGAGAAGAGGGAGGGAAAATAAATAAATAAATAAGTAAATAAATAAGTAAATAAAGAGGGAGAGGAGCCAGGAGGAGGAGCAGCAGCAGCAGGCGGAGAAGAAGAGAGGAAACAGAAGAAAAAAAGAAAAGAAAAGAAAGAATAACAAGAACAAGTAGAAACAAACCCTAAAAATTGCAAAGATATGACTGCAGCACTAGCATGTTGGGAAAAAAGATAAGAACAGAAAAGCATGTATGAATTTTCTGTAAGGCTTTAGATAAGTCCTTTCCAAAGAAATCATCACGTCTGTAATTTAGAACATGTATTTTGCAACATCCAACTTAATTTGATAAAGCTTTTCATGAAGCTTATTTCAAGGCAGAATACTGTAGCGACAAATGTAGAATGAGAGTCCGACAACAATCTTCAATCATTATGATTAAGTTGGATGGAAGTCTTACCTGGAGGGCAGGAAACAGCACTACGAACCATCGCTTATCGTTGAAAGAAAGGTGAGTTCTTGTTTCGCCATCCGATCCCAGCAGCTGCATGAACTCTTGCATATCCATAGCATATTTGAAATCAGGAAAATCATCATAATTGAAGAATATTTAATAAAGATCAATGTTGCAATAAGAGATTTGAGATAACGAGGGATTAGACAAGGAGATCAGCCAAAATATCAATAACCTGTCGGATTGCTATAGGATAAACATATCGGATGTGCGCGAACCTTTAGAGTATTCGAGGGAGGAGGTTGACCATCTTTGGTGAAGGTTCTGTTTTGCCCGCACAATGGGCATAAACTAACACTTAATCCAAACACGGGTGATAAACTGCCTTCGCGATCTCGTTCAAATCCCTGGAACCAGAGCGACCTAAAGAAAAAAGATCATCCAACCACGACTAGAAGTGACGACCAATGACCACATGGAGAAACAAAGTTGACCCTAAATATTAACATACCACAATTAACATTTTTTTTTACCTAAAACTGAAACTATAATTCCTCACGTGGATATCAGCAGTAAGCACTTGCACTGTTGACAAGACAGCTTACAAGATTGAAGTACCTGGAACATCCTTGAAGGACTCCGGCTGCGAGATTGTCTTTTCTCCGGTTTGGACACTTCTCCCTTCTCTGGCTGTTCTTCATGTGATTCGTCACCTTCAACAGTTTCTGTCATCCTGGTGATTCTGTTTTCTTCTTCTATTAAGACCAACTCAGGAGACTTGCTGTGGACGGGCTCATTGAAGTGAACCAAAAGGCCCTTCACCCTTTCAAGTAAAGTTTTGTCCTTGATTAATGTTTCGGCCTCCGGTGGTAATAGCATTTGTAAAGATTCTAGAGCATCCCACTCTGCCCTCACCTCCCGTACATGATCACCAGCAAACTGTGGCACCAAATCCATCTGCGATAGGTGTGGAGAAACCATGCGAACCCCATCATGCACCCAAGAAAGTGATTTGAGCAGAGGAAGACTGAAAGCAGCAGTATGCTGTTGACCAGAAATATATAGGAACCGTGCAGGCTATGTTTTTGCATTAAACCTTGCTGTCGGTTAACTTCGGCTGGATTAAATTCATATTTTTAATTTTTCACACATTACCTGGTCAAAAAGCTCACGGAGCTGTAAATCTTTCTGGCACATGACCTCCAATAGCCACTGCTTAGCATTGACAGGCACAATAACTGTGCTCAACCGTGTCTTAGGTGCCACGGTAATATACTTGCTGCTCAACCGAGGGACAACTTGGGTCCCATCTATATTAGCAGACGCCATAACGGATCTAACGAATGCGCTCCGGCGATGGCTGGGCAAAAGTTTACCAAACTTGCTCAGAGCCCGAAGACTTGATCTGCGAGATTCGCCCCTTATGTCTTTGAGGAATGGAGGCTCGTGCATGGCCAAGCCCTCCACATCAAGTTTCTGAATGATTGATGGCGGTTCTCTGGAAGCATCTCGCCACTCTTTATCTCCTGGGACCCGTGGCGTAAAAACAATAGAACGTCCCTCTTCAATATCCAACTCCCCTTGATAATTTTTACCAGGCTCCAAGGAAAAATCGCGCAAAGAGATCCGGCGTCTGTCACCTGCCGTCACGAAAGCACAAAATCGTGGATACATATTCCTCTCTATCCCACACATAAGTTGCCATCTTCGGGTCTTGAGAGTGTTTACCATATCTCACTTGCTCGTTCAAATGAATACAAGCCCTTACTGACAAAATCTGATACACTAAATGAAGCTTAAGCATACTTATAATCTTCTCATGAGTATTCACAGGACAACCTACTCAAATCGGTGCATAACATACATTGCACGGATCCAAAGTAAAAATCGAAGACGGGATGAGACGTAGTCCATGAAAAACCGCACCTGGGAGAGAGACTTGGGAGGTTCTTCTGAGGAATGGAAATGGCAGAGATTCTTTTGGACGCACGGGCAGAGAGGCGGAGAATCGCACCTTGCCTTTACTAGGCATATCATCCCTATCGTCTAATTCTAGTCGTTTCTTCTTGGATCGGCTTTGAATCGAAGATCTTCCTCTGGACGATGCCCTGCTGACAGGAGAGGGAGTGCGGGATCGAGGCGATGTTGAAACTACCTGCTTCTCTTCTTGCCTCGCTTTGATGAGGTCCTCATAATCCACCCAGCTGATCTCTCGCTGCCTCGATTTTGGGGGCGACATGCTTCCCCTCCTGTCCAAATTTCGCAACCCTGAAGTGGGTGTGGTACTTTGGGGTCTTACATCCGATTGTCTTCTTTCAGTCCCTCCCTCTCTTTTGAAAACTTTGTCAGGTACTGGCTTCTTATCCTTTTTAGCCATGTTTTCCTTAGATTGAGTCGATATGGTTGCAATGTGTACTTCCCCTGCTGCTGCGTCAGAAAGAGATGGCTACATAGACCGTCTGTCAGAGTAGCAAGGTAACTGGCAGCATTCAGAGCTACTGCGACTTGGCAGACATGCACATTGGCTTAAGCGTGCGGCAAATCTCCCGACTTACGTTGAAACTATCAACTGCTTCATCGTTTACGTTTTTCTCTGAAGGGTCAATTTCAAGAAATTTTGAAGGACCTAAGTTCTGAAAACTTCAAGAAGACATGTGGACATCTGCTACTGTGACTGAACACGGTGTCCTGCTGCTGATCGTGGTCACTGTTGCTGTGATGCAAGTATGTTTCTACAACAAATGCAACCTCTACTAATTTCGTCACCCCGAAATGGAGTCTATCTTGTTTCTAAATATGAATGCAACCCGTACTCCCCTAACCACATACATCTCTGCGCAAATCAAATCCAACAACAATCTCGCAACACACGTGTTATCGCTGCCCTGAAGATTTGTGTCCACTTGCATACTTAAACAGTTTCAGAGCTGGAGTCAAAATGTTTTTAGTCTTCCAACTACACATGATCGAAAAATCTCATTCAATGCCCTGGTAACTTTCAAAATGGCCTAAGAACGAAAAACAACCAAAAAAACTACGTCTTGGTCGACTTGCCCACTACAGATCAAGATTTTCGAAGAACCACTCCAATTGCAGTTTGCGCTTGATGTCAAACCACGTGAAGAGCCATTTCCCCTGCCGTCGTTGCTCACCTTTCTAACCGTCGTTCCAAACCTCGTTTACCAGTTCCGTGCTACATCGATCCAACTTGCAAAACTACAATCACCGACTAATTATATACCCTACAATTATACCTGTGCGGCATCAATGTAGTAGCCCACATCAACCTGAGTATCCCACTTCAGGACATGAATGTACGAAGCACCATCTGATGATTTTCTCTACGACTTCTGGACAGATACATCATCATTTTGCAAACGAATGTAGATCCCAACGTCAGGTTCGCATATGGGGTACAAACCTGTGCCTTTGAGCCATTCCCAGCATGAATTCCAGTGTGCACGTCACCACTAGTACTGATCAACCACGAAATAAGCTCCGAGACTGTAAAATGTACACACTGGGCTCGTGAGCAAAAAGCACACCAGAGAGTGGCAAGTTAGTTGCAGCAAAACCAGTAGATTGTCCTTCAATTTCAGCTGAATCATCATGCTTGGGACCTATGGCAAGCCATGCAGACTGGTCGCCCTCATGAAGAGTAGAACCCTTCCAAGCATCTGCCGTTTGGCACCGATTATGAATACGTATATTTTTGACAATTAATGTACAATGAAATGCCATTGACTTGCATCTGATTTGGGTACTTTATCCATTATATAAAACAGTTTGGATATAAGATAAAGAGACAAAGAAGTCTTTTCATTGGCTGAACTGGGGAACATGGATGACAACATTAATGCTACATCCTCAATTGATATTACTACACCTTATATGACCTCTTTGTATACAACTAACTAATAATATATATATATATATATATATATATATATTTATGTATTTTTTTCTTTCTTTGTTTTAAGAAAGAATGGTAGTTGAGAAGGAGATAATAAATATTTTATAAAAAAACAAGTGTCATGAACATACGTATTTGATTTAATAATTATATGATTAAGTAGAAATAATTAAAAATAGATTAATTTTATAATATCTTTTAAAGATGCTTCTTAGAAGCTTTATAGATGTGATTTTGATTTTATATGTATTTGTAATTGATTGATAAGTTAGAAACTTAGTCAACAAGTTCACCATGAATCATACATGTTGATAGCTTATGGAACAAGCTAACTATGTAGCATACATATAGAAAACTTGCCTTGCAAGTTAAGATAAGTGTCTTGCAAAGTCAACATGTATTGGAGGTTTTATAGAATATCATTATGTAGTTCTTAGTTAGATAGTATATATGGAGGCAAGAATGAAGCCTTTTTCACTCTTGTCAATACTTTTCTAATCTTTTCAAGTGACACAAGATTGTATTGAGTTTTCTTTCTTTGAAATTCATATCCTTACTAGTTTCACAAGAGTATTAATTCATTGTTCTTTTCTTGTTTTAGAAGTGAATGCATTATCCTACTTCTATTATTGTATTTTGAAGGTGGTGGACTATCCACCTTTGAAAAAATAATTTAATTTTATAACATTAATATTTTTTAAAAAATAAAAAATCACATCTCTTTATAGAAGTTTTTATTTGATATTAGAATTTGTAAATTATTTTCTTCTAATTTGGCTTGTGGATTTATTAAGTTATTTGAAATAAAAGAAAAAATCATAGATGTTACACTTGACAAAAGTAAAAATAGATTTACAACTATTATAGGTCTTTACAAGCTTGTGAATACTCTTAAGATGGAAATTTCATATATCACCAATGCCAACCATAGAAGCATTATTCCTACATCTATAGAAGAAGTCTAGAATCTATACTAAGAAGTTGTGCAGTTAAGTGAAACAAGTAGATAAATCTCATAATCATAGTCAAGAAATCTTACTCTTACAAGTATGAAAGAGATAAAGATTAGTATGTCTAAGAAATTTGATAGAACAAGATTAAAATTTTGAAGATTTTTGCAATAATTGAAGTTTGGATGAGAGAATTATGCTTATGTAAACTTAAGCTACTAATTTGATACCTATTTTCTCTTTTCTATATATATTAGGAGTTTTAAGATACTAGCAAAAAATCAAGGAATTGGTTTAGAAACTAGACTTTAATTTGAATATTTTATGTCCAAGAATTGATAGTATTGAGTCTAGAATGAGTGAGATATGGCTGGTTAAAACCAACAAATTAAAACTAGGGTTTTGAAGAAATTAGAAAAATAGAAGATTTTGCTTTTAAGCTAGAACTTGAGCTTCAAGTCGAATTTGAAGCTCATTTTTTGTGTACATGTTACTATAATAGAAAGAACCTATGTTTAAAATCTCATGTCAATTGAGACTCTAACTTGGGAGAAATGGTGAAATTTGTTCTCAAGTATCTAAGATTTTGACTTTTAAAGGTACCTGCTACAATTTTAGTGATATCAGATGATCGGTAACAAATTTGTACCTAAAAATTTGTGTAATGATGATCAAAGCTATAAGTTTTGTACTCCTAAATTTTGAGCTTATTTGAATAGTTAGATCTTGGGATATAAATTTTCAAGTTTGATTTGGTTTTGACTTTCAAAAATACCTTCTAAAGTTTTGGTGATATCAGACGATTGGTAACAAATTTGTAGCTAAAAATTTGCTTGATAGTGATCAAAAATGTAAATTTTGTAATCCTAAATTTTAAGCTTATTTGAATAGCTAGATCTTAGGATATGAATTTTCAAGCTTCAAGTTTGTTGATTTATTACAAATATAGTTTTGTAAATACTCAAAGGAGAATTTAAGAAGGCATTGTATATATTGGACCCAACTTAAATGCAAAGAAGGATCTTTCATCTACCCATACTAGACTCTTATTATAACAATGTGATATGCTTTTTGAAATTTACCAATTACTATCGGATCTTCATCAAGAATTTTTTCAAGTTGTTGTGCCATTTATATTTATGACTTATAAAAACAAACTTGAGTAGAATAAAGAAGCCAAAGCACTGTTTATTGTTTAAAAAAAAAAAAAAAAAAAATACCAATCTTATATCATTTTGACTTCTAAAAGGTATTTTTTATGGAAAAAAATGCATCAAATTTTGTCTTAGATGCAATATTATCACAAATAAGAAGAAATAACAAACTCCATCCAACAATTTTCTATACTTAAAAACTTTCAATTGCGGAGTTTAATTATGAGATCCACGACAAAGAGCTTCTTGCAATTATGGATTCATTTTAAGAATGGCGTCATTATTTAGAAGGCACCTTGAATCCAGTCACCATTGTCGGGGTAGAGAGAGTTTGCTTGAAGAAAGTGCTAGACTTCTGGCTGCCACTAAATACTCAATCAAGTCTAAGATATAAAAATACCAAATTTATATATATAATATTTTTTATTTTTGGATAATTACATCAATATACAAAGCCCAAGTGCCAAGAAAATACCTAAATGTATGATAAAGTATCTTAAAACCTTATATATCCTTATGAGAAATGTTTTCTGAACTTCAATAGCTCATATCTCACAATCCGACTATCCAAACAACTCTTAATTTAACATAAAGTATTGATATACTTTCAAAAACTACCACAAAAAATTTCAAGTACAAATTTGTTACAGAATGTGAGATATCACCAAAATCCTAACAGTAGCTTTAAACCCTAGCTTACATACACTTGAGTGCTATTTTCTTCATATCTCACAAAATAATTACTTAAATACTATGAAACTTTGATTTTTAGCTTTTTAACTTAATAAAACATATTTATGGAAATTTTGAGCCAGAAATTTGTCCAAAAATTCAAGATATGGCTCTAACCATTACTATCAACAAAATGACTCACTTACTGCCTTTGATTTACATGTACTATCTTCAATGCCCTATAACTCCTTCATCCCTTCATTCCATGCATTGCTTTCATTCCTCCCAATAAGCCTCCTACTAGTTAAAAATTTCTTCTTTAGGCTCTAATCTCCTCTCAAGGCTTTATACTAAACATTTAAATCCTATATAATATAAACACTATAATCAAAATAGATAAATCTCTAAATAAATTTTCTTATATCTATTCTCTTTAAATTTATTTACTAACCATTCTAATCTATATGAAGACTTACAAACATATTATATGTCTTAATTAATTTTTACATACTATAAGTAATTACAATATAACATCCTATATACAAATCACAAGAATCTCAAGTATTTCATGTTAGAACATGTTTCAAATTGTCACCAAGTTTGTTGGAGCATGTCTTTATCAAAAATTGATTTAAAGATTACTTATTGATCTGAAAAAATAACAAGGTTTGTCAGATGGCTTTTTTAGATGTTCTTATCTTGTACCAAAAGAAGGAGATGCATCTTTTGATTAATAAAGAATAATTCTCTTGAAGCAAGAATATTTCCACCTTTGAGCAATGAAATCAACATCAATTGTTGATTCAATGTTTGTCAAGAAAATTCAAGTAAGTATGTCCTCTGACCCTCTTATCCATAATATCAAGAATAATTCTTTTAAGTCTCATGATACTTTGAACTTTGAATTCAAGAACAACCTATTCTATTTCAAAGAATAATTATACATTTCAGAAGTTGGAGCACAATTATGTCTTCTTCAAACTTGTCATGACTTTCCAATAGCCAAACATTTGAGATACAACAAGACTTTCGAACTAATATCAAGAAATTTTTTGTGGCTTCAAATGTAGAAGACAGTCAAAGACTTTGTATAATCATGTGATATTTGTTGAAGATCCAAAACTCCTTACCATTGACTTTATAGACTTCTTTACTCTTTACTTATACCAAAACAACTATAGTCTTCTAATTCTATAGATTTTATCATGGTGTCATATTGTGGTTTAGCTATCATGTGAAAATAATGTGATTATGTATTTAATGTACAATTTACTTAACAACATGGTGAGAGCCACGTTACTCGACTTTAGTTGGTTGTAGAACGTGGTTAAATTATTATTTTAAAAAGAGATTGTTTAAAAGGATTACTATTAAAATTTGTATAATTTTATTTTCTTTTGATAGTGGCTTTTGAGATTGATTTTTTTGGTAGTAATTTTAAATATTTAGAGTCACCTATATTAGACATTGGTGATCGTTGAAGTCTTATTTTGGTTCTTTAATTTGATATTTAGAGCATATATTGAGAGAATCTTATAAAAAAAAGAATTAAAGAGGAGTTTTGGTAATTAAAAGAGAATTTAAGGCATCCA